AGAGGTGGATACATTGGGTGGTCACGCGGCATGGCATGCCCAGGACTAATGGGAATTAACTTCTTTCTGGACACATATATGGCTCTTTAGGCAGTGTATATCTTTCTTCCAAAAGCGAGCCAAGAGGCCTCGTACCCCGCTTTCAGATCCACAAGCAAATCCGGATGGCTGGAATTCCTCCCACCGACTCCTCCTCCACCATGCACAGCCATAGGAGGGAGAAATGCCATATTAGATACCCCGTACACACGTTAGCACTATTTCGTGTGTGATTAGAAACATACTTTCAAAAATGCATAAATATGATACACTCACTATTTTTCCGATTCGTCAAATAGGAAATTTATTTATCTTATCTAGCAAAAGTTCACTGGATACGGCTTCACACTGACTCACTGAAACAGCTAAGACCAAAGATTTGAATGAACCTGTCGAGGGTTCAGCTAGATAAGCATTGAATCGTTCTGGGCGTAAGGCACGAAATGCATGTTTCACGGGACGTGTGGAAAAATAAATCGTAAATAAATCGTGAAAAATAATTAGAGTTAACCTTGACTCGGGACAAATTCGCTACCCTCCGGAATCCTCGAAAATACTTCCGATATTAGTCGTGACTTGAAACTACAAAACACTGAAGTGATTAAACGAAGGTACATTTTGGGATTTTCCCCGGGTATGTATGTTTCTCGTCCTAGCAGAAACAGCTTTGCATATACATACTGTTTTTCATAAACTACACTTTCTGGGAAATTCGTAGTAATGCACGTTTGAGTAGGTTGTGATATAATGTTTCCGTTGATTACATATAACTCAAGCGATGTTCATATTCCTTATTTATGACTGAGTTATGACAAACATGATTTTAGCTTTGTCATTTGGTTATCATATAATTTCGTGACGAAGAGGAATTATCCTTATTTCTGGCGAAAACGGTTTAGTTTGTCTCAAAATTTAAACTTTCCTTTAAGCAAAATGAAAAAAGAATTAAAACATTACTATTTTTTCTCCCAAATGAAAAATGAACTTTGAAATAAGGTGTTTGTATTTTACAGCACTCGTTTGATATTTAAAGTTGCAGGACTAAAGCCTTTTTTACAGCTCTTTTAAGTTAACTTTAAAGTTTGAATTTATTTTAATTTGTTCAGAAACTTCTTTAAGATCTTAAATTTTCTTTTGTAACTTTAACTGGAACTAGAGTGGCGATTTTTGTTTATCGTATCACTGTTGGATTACAATAATAACAACAGCATGAACAGCAAAAACATGGTTTCTTCTCAGACGGTCATCCGTTTATCTTTGGTGTGGCAAACATTCGCGCGAAAAGAGCCGCAGTAGTGATAAATAAACAGAATACTTTTATCATAGAGAACCAAAAAATGCAACAATGTATTGACTGACTTATGTACACGTCCCAAGAAAACTATCAGCTATAACAGAAAACATTTACTAATTTTAGATTATCAACTTTCAGACGTTAGATAGAGGAATGCATTTTAGAGCAGAAAAATGACGGACTATTAAATAATAGTACTTATAATATCATAATAAAGACCCTTCTAACAACCTTCTAAGCCAACCTTTATCCGGCATCGCATGACATGAGCTTAACAGCCGTCCAGGCGGCGTCCTTAATTTACTCTTTACGAGCTTTCAAAAGCACTTTTGCGACGTTTAAGAACCTAAGAGTCTGCTAAATTTTGGGTCTTTCCTATGCTTTTGCAAAACTTGTTCTATTTTTCAATTTCCCTTTTTTTAATGCTTTCTTTATTTTTGTTTTAAAAGTTTGGTTTTCTCCCTTCTTTTGCATTTTTCGTCACAAAAACAACAAAAATCCGAATGTGAACTTCTTTACTTTTCCAAATAACAAATTTAACTCGACAAGAAAACGAGAGATAATGCTAAACTAAAAAAGAACAAAACAAGAATGAAATACGGTTTGATGAATTTTGTGGCTCTAAACGTCTCGTTAAAACAGTCTAAAAAATTTTAAAAATGTGAATAGATTTCGGGCCAATAATTTAGCAGTTTTTTCCCTTTAAAATAATTAAAGACGTCACTATACTTTCAATGTTCAAAAATGCACCATAAGATACCTATATAAAAGCGATCCGTTACAAATCTTTCTTAATTTGCTCGTCGCGTACTTTACCTTCTGTATTCTCCTCACACCCAGCAAGGTAAACTTCGAAAACGATGATGACAGCCAAACTCTACAAGGAAGACAAAAACGTTTGAATTCCAGATGGAAAACTGCTTTTGAAACCGCGAAAATTAAACTTACCAAAGAGGGGATAAGGGTCATTTTTCGTTCAAGAAAAATCCGTCATTCTTCCTCGAAGTGATGTGATAATTTATTATGGTAATGAGGTAGGCTTCACGCTATTGCAACTAAAAGATAATGACGTTAAATCTATATTATTGCCACAATAAACCTAATCTATTGTCCAATGGATTAAAACCTTATTTGTGGTAAACTTTAAAATTTATGACCGCTATAAAGGCCAGAAACGGTTTTGTGTGTACAGATAAGACGGAATCAGGAATAGACATGACTAATAAAGACAAAAAAGATTGTTGAAATCACGGTACTCCTCTCTCAGTAATTAAACCATTAGTTCTACTACCGGGACAAAAAATACTTTAAAATATATTTTCATTCTTATCATATAAAAGAACGAGAAAAACAATATTGATATGATAGGAGTGCAGATGATAAGGCGCGATAAGAAACGCTTCAGATTCTAGAAGTGTACTTCATTATTAAAATACTTCAAGTTGACAGATCAGTTTTAGGGTGATTAATCGATTTGATAAAGCTGTGTTAACGTTCATTGGAAAAAAAGAAAGCTTATCTATCTCAACGTTCTTACTTTCTCACTACAGTGAATTTTAACCATCCAAAATATGATTTTTGTTTTATTCTCTCTCAGCTCAAACTTGCTGTAATTTTATTTTTTTAATTAAAAGCCGATCTGAATTATTTTTTTGAGAGGTAGAAATCTATTTATTCATTTATCTTTTTACGATCTATCTGAAGTTTCATGTTGTTTATAATTTTTTAAAAACTATTATTATTCATCATGATCATGCCCGTTAGTGCCATACAACTACTTCTAGGTCAGATTTCTGAAAACTTCCCCCAAAAAAGTTTACAGAAGAACAACCTAAACAACAACAACAATAAAAACAAACATATATCAAGCTTATGGTAACCTCATTTTTTTATATGCGACATGCCGACACGCGGTTAATTCATGCTGTGTTGAAGAAGATAACCGCTGCTGATGGTGAAAGAGAATAGAACGATACCAGAACAAGTTGGACTTGCAAATCGTAACCACATAAAATAACAACAACTGAGTAAAAAAAGGATCTTTCCTGGGAGATTCACCCCTGGAATCTAAATCCTACTCTGCAGTGTTTGATTCATGCAGAGTTCCTCCTATGCATGTAGTTTTCTTTTTCTGACCATTAAACTTTTATTATTCAGTGAAAAAGTAAAACAAAAAATGAAAGTATTGGTTTCTATAGCGGCTATGTTACCATGATTCAAAGCCTCTGCAAATGCCTGTGACGCGCGTCAAAGGGTAGACTTTTGGAAAAAGCCCTTTGTCCAATTTAGTATTGTGCTGGACGATCATTCGACCTCTCGCGACTTCGTCGCTCGGTCGGTCGCTTCGGGGCCTATGAAGCTCGTTCCGCTTGCTTAGAAACTCGTGAGGTCGACCTGTGGCGAGTCTAATCAAATACTGGTAACAGGGGATCAACAATGCTGGTACAAGGGAAGCATATGAGTTTTGTTTGACTGTGATTTTAGTAACTTCATGGTATCGTTAATTCAACTGTCGTGCGACCGCTACAAAAGTCGTAGCCTCAAGCAATAATGTTACAAGTGCTTGAAGTCCTTGATAGAGTAATCGTGGAAAGCCGAAACTATGGTAAGAAGGAAGAAGGACGAGGCATGACTGAAGTGTTATTACTCTTGTATGTTAATAGGAATCCACGAGTCTCATTTGTTCATGATCAGTGGTCGATAGATGGCGCTCGAAGGTAAGCAGTGGACGAAAGGCACGATGGAATGGAATTTAAAGCGGCGAACTATCACAAATGAATTCACATAGATCATAGACGGGGACATTATTGATAAACTAAACACAAGATTGTAATTTAAGAGGTGAAATCCAAAATCTTCTATGCTGGTACTGTGAGTTACAAGGGTAATTCTGGACTTCTCTCCACCGAAGAGACTCTTGCAGGTGTGACAACAAAAAACCGAAAGCTTGCAGGGGCTGACGGTGGGGACGCCTTTTAAAGCCCTCGTTCCCATTAATCTTCCCCACATGGTTTCTTCGGATCACTACTCGTTTCTGGGAAACTGCCCAACTACCCCTCCCCCGAGCCAATATAAACATTGACTTCTCAATGAGGGCCAAATTTTGTCTTAGGGGAAGGGTAGGTGGACAGTTGCCCAGAACCTTCCTACGACAAAAAGAGGCTTCTGTGGGAGAGAGATTTTCTGGACGCTTTACCGGGATCATGGCCTATCGTAATCACACGTAGTACTTATCGTAGTAGCTTCCAAAGAAGACAATTTTCTCGTTAAATAGACTAAAATTATTCGAAACAAATTTGGCGGGTAGTTCTTCTGGGATAAATAATTGAACTTCTCTACCAGAATCGCTCATAAAGGCTAGCCTGCAGTGCGGGCGCTATCTTTGGGCGAGTGAATATTTTTGCTCGCGAAAGCTCTAAGTTGAAACTCTTAATTAAAGTGGTTAGGCCCTGGCACCTACCCTAAGGGTTGCTACTTCTACTTTTCCTAATCATCCTCTGTCATATAATCAAAGATGGCAGCTACAGCAATATGAAAATAAACAAGCAGCTTTTACCCTCCCAAAGTACGCCTACACTGCAGATTACATAAAGACCGGACCGTTCTGTGCTTTCCTCTCGATCCAAGACATATTTCATTTTCGAGTGTCAGCAAAAAAGGCAATAACTTATACTGATTCCAAATATGATCCGAACCAGTAATTAGTGGTCGATTCTCGACCAGACAGTGTGCAGCGAAATGTTGGATTTGTGTATTGGTAGAGTCCAAAGTCATCTTCAGACTTCACTGCTCCGGAACTCGGATCAAACCCGCAGCGTGCCTTTGAACTATCGTGAGACAGCGGCACATCGTCACCTTGCCACCAAGCAGTATTGCAGTCGCTACAATTGTGCCCTCGTACGTTTATGTATTCGACTTTCTTGCAAATTCCTTTCCCTTTGAAGTCTATGGGGTCAAAATCAACGACCTTAGCACGAACGTAATCCTGAAGAACGAGCCCATCATTCTGAAAGCTGCATGTAATTCTCCAGTGCGATGAACGGGAACGCAATTGCTTCATGTGGGAGAGCGATAGTCTGAAAGCATTCCAGTTTGGATTGAGCTCGCTTGTAGGTTTATCCACAAATAGGGGAACACTGCTAAAGAAGCCAGTTCCTGCAGCACTGGGTGTCCTCCCAGACATGAAGAGTGTCCAAGCTGCTTTAGGCTCGGACGTCAGATCACAGTAGACGGGGTAGGAAAACCCTTTCAAATCGAAGATGTTGTAATTTCCAGAATACCTCCTTCCTGCATGCATGTATTCAAGGCAGCTCTTTGCTATCTAAACGAGGATCAAACACATAAATACTATTACGGATAATCCACTAATATTGTCAATATCTTGTTGATGTGTTTGTTTTGTAATGTTTTTTTTTTCTCCGTGGTTCTTCTGACAAACTACAATCATTTTCATTTTTTAAATTTTAAATTTACTTAATATTTCTATGATGAAAGACCAGATTATTCCATACAGTCTGTATGATTCTCTATAATATTAATGTTAATAAACCTAATCCGAAATAGAACTTTGTGATATAAATTAAAAGTTACTTAAACCTCGTTTTAAGTGACAACACGTTTGTCAGATGACCATTGTCCATAGATTTAAACTTAAATACGACATTTCAAAGTACGGTATATACTACAAGCACGTCGGACTAACTATACCGCCCACCCGAATACTACCACAACTACGTACGATGATGAAATCAAATAATGATGATGATGATGATGCTGATGATGATGCCAGGTAACAAATAATTACATTCCCTGGGCAGGGCTTTTGCTCGTAGAAAATGGGAGGGCGCGGAGGTTGAATAACTTAAACTAATAATAGGACAAAACAAAAGGCGGTAACATATAGAGGATAGCGGTCCAGTAGTACATCCGTCTCTTTCAAAAAAGAATTTCACTCATAAAAATATCTCAACCTAGATCCCCTCGAGAAAAATATATACAATTATACTTGCAGTTACAAGGCATCAAAAAGCTATAAATTACTCAAACCTCACCAGATCTTTCCTTTCTGTTTGGACAAAGATGAAACCAGGAATCTTTCTTAGCATTTCACATCTTTCTTTTGACAAAATGCCTTCTTCACTTAGTTCACACAATCCACTTCTAGGAAAAGAAACTTGATAATTAAACGAAATACACCTTGTGTTTTTCAAGCAGAGATGACTGCAATGCAGCATGCTTCGTGACATATGTCGGTCAAGTTTTGGACCTTTGGAAGCATATCCGTAAAGTGTTATATACGCTCCATTGATGGAGAGGCTTGTAGGCGGCACAGGATCAATTTCTTTTGGAAGACATGATCGATGGAGTGAGAACATAATGATGGCAAAATTTTTCAGTAAGTGCATTCTGTATTCAGAAACTCGTGCCATCGCGCTATAGCTGTTTCTTCACCTGACCAAGTCGAAAGCTTTAAGTAAAAAACAATTGACTTTTCACATAATTACTTTTCATTCTTTAAGGGCAAGTTTAAAGAAATTAATCATTATGGAACTGTTAGCCATCCACCTCTTTTCTAATACGTTTTGACCCATGTATAATAGGACCATTCAGGTATAATTATTTTTCTTTAAGTTAACCGACAGAAAATTGAATTAATATACTCCTAACTGATTAGCACGCATTTTTATGAGACTATCCTCATATAATCAGAAGTTTTTTGGTAAACAAAACTGTGGACTTTATTGGTTCGCCTTGTATAGTACTCCCATTACCAGCCAACTGCCCGGAAATTAAAAGCTTTTATTTAAATTTTGTCTTCTGATTACTTTCAAAGGACTCGTATAAGCCTGAAAAAGAAACGCAGCGATCGAATTGTTAAATTCCAGCTCCCTGTTGAGGGTTAGGCCCGTTTGCAAAACGAAATACCGTAGTCAAGTGAGTCAAAACGCTCTTTCAACAACCCTTTTTTTTATCGAAATAAACATGGCACCTCTATCAAAACACACGCGAAGAGTATTTCATGACAACAAACTAAAAAATCGTTTCGGCTATTTATCACAGAATTGATGATTGCTCCTTAAAAATCTGTGGGGAAGGGAGGCGGGGGCGAAATAGCCCTTGTACGATTTAATTCTATATTTCTTCTTTACGAGTGTTTTTAGTTAGACCCCCTGGCTAATTCTTCATGACCGACTAAAGTTGACCAAATTTAGATGTTTGCCAATCAAATGCGTTTGACATCAATCGTATTGATAACGACAGAAAAGAGGAACGCGTAGAGGAGCGGTGATGGACCACATGTTCTGCCTCAAAAAACAGACAAAAACATGAATAATTTACATGCATATCCACGATTTTTGAGAAAACGGCGTGAAATGAAGAATCGCATGCGACAAGAAAGCGGTGGGTAACAAACTTGAGACTGTTGATCGCTTTTACTATGGTATGTCACCCGGGGGGGCACTTGGGTATTTTTTGGTTGGGTATGTGCCGCCCGGGACTCCAAAATGGCACCCCGTTCTGGAAAAAATTTCCCCTAAAATTGATACTCCGTTCTGGAAATGGGCCAATTTTTTATACCCCGTTCTAGAATTCGCCCCAAAACTGATACCCCGTTCTAGAAATGGGCCAATTTTTTATACTCCGTTCTAGGGTGCAACAAGAGTACAACGGTTTGCTTGTTAACGCATTGAGCCGTATTTTTAAAAGCAATCTGTCCTTGAATACTTTCAAATGGCTGCCAACAAAAATAGAGCTTTCGTGCGTTCGAAATATTATACCCCGTTCTAGAAAACGCCTCTGAAATGGATACCCCGTTCTAAATCAGGAGCTTCAAAATCACGACCCCTTTGGGCGGCACATACCCGTATATGTAATGTATGGGAGTACCCCCCCGGGATGTCACCCCAGATCGGGAAGTTGCTTTTCCCACGGTGCTTGATCGGAAATGACACAGCTTTCCCCCTATTATTACTATCCACCGCTCTATTACACCTACATCAAAAGTAGAAGAGTTGTAGGGGACCGAAAAGACGGAAATCGTCACTTCACAGGCACGAGAATTTTGTTTAATAACTTATCAGCGAGATTTATACACTATATTCATGGACTTCTGATTTGTAATTATTAAACAGTTATAGCAAAATATAAATGACTTCCATTATTCCCCCGATCCCAAGCTTATGTACTTTTACGCTAGAGGCAAAACCCTCAAGTATATTTTATTAAAAATATAATATTCTTTTTCATCGCAATAGACCGATGCTCCAATATTTACACATTCAATTCCAAAACCTAGATTAAGCTGGAACGTCTTTAGAGCCTACAAGTTTGTTTCTCTTTGAAGTGAAGTTCCAGGTATATTAACATATCACACTAGTGCAATTTGATACGAGAAAACACTAACGACCGACACATCGCATCATACCATAGTGCGGATTTTGATTGGCATAAAAAAGTAATAATAATAACACGTTGAAGTTAATTCCCAGTCCGTACTGCGCAGGCTCAGACTTGAATTGTTTTACGATCACAAGATAGTTTCCCGTAAACATAACTCAGTACATCATTTGTACACATGGAGATATTATCACATCCTGGCTGCGAAGCGACTTCAATGTTTCTTTCTTCAATTTCACAGCGAGAAAAGCTCAGATCCACGGACGTATTTCCCGTTCGTCGCTTCTCGCCACCCGAAAAGTAAAATTTACATCGCAGGTTAAGATGGCGGAAGACAACAACTAGTTCACTTTCTGTAAGACGTCACGAATTGGTACGTTTTATGAAACCATACATAAAGAAATTAGTTTTCCAGACAAAAAAAAAAACCCATATAAACTCGTTGAGCCTGCGCAGTACGGACTGGACGTAAAATTTACTTTGAGCTAACAATTAATTTGAGTACTTAAGACCACCGCTAAATTTGTTCTTCTGCGAGACTCACCATCATATCGTAAAACAAAACCTTCTTCATTATTCAGGGACGTTCTCAAAAAATTACGATCAATTTCCATTCCGTGCACACGTCACAGACATTCCTCGATCATTTTCAACAACTCGTCGAATGGACGCGCCAACGATCGTAAACAAAGGGGGCCAAGTTACTTAAGTCGCCGTAAAATTTTAAGAGGTACTCTAGGATTTAACGTAATTTAAGAATTACGTAGGCAAACATGAGTTTTACTTAATCAAGCTTCTCCCATTTTAGAATAAAAGGTAAATATTTTTGTCTCCCTGTTTACTCAAGTTTACGTTCCTGCTTAACACAAACTCTTGAAAGATTCGTGGTTTATTCTATAAAAGCGTAAAAAATGCCCCATTCTGCCCAAAAAGGAGAACAAAGAAAATGAATGAGCACAATCTCGAGTTTTTAATATTGATAAACCCATGAGATTAAACATGAGCTTAATTACGATAACTGACGAACTTTTTTATTCAGTCGATAATAGCTTTGTACCAGTACATGCAAGTAGGTTGTTGAGGTGCTTCTTCCTCCAAACGTTTCTCATCTTCTTCATGTTATCCAAAATAACACCAAAAGAAAATAATCTGAGTTGACCTTCCATCAAACTCTGAGAGGACAAAATGTACACCTCCGGCCCCACATTTAGCTGATCACTGTCAGACTCCTAGTTCATCGTCCAAGCGAGACTTTCTCATTAAAGAACTTCAAGCTCATGGAAAGACCTGCTTTGCTGGCGTTGCTTAACCGAGTTTCCGCGGCGGGTCTCTGCCCTCTTGATGATTTCAATCAGCTTCGGCTGAATAATTCCGAGAAGCGGTCGGCCGCTCGGGTCCCCACTCCAGCACGCCTCCATCAAAGTCCAACAATCGTCGTCGAAGTTCGCTAAACGTTCGGGTCGGACTCCGCGTCGAACGGCCGACCAGAGGTGGTCTTTGCTTGCACACTGCTCGAACGCTAATGGGAGACGTACAGTGCCGGCACAGATATACCAAAATAGAATACCAAACGCATACACGTCCACGCTGTTGTCATAACGACCAGAAAACAGTTCGGGTGCCATATGTATTGGAGTGCCTACGATCGAGCCAGACATCATGGCTTCTGGCTTACAGAATCCCAAATCTGTGATCTTACCACGGTTCCTAGCATCCAACTGAAAAGCAAGGAAACAATATTAGGACACACAGCACTGTGCCCTTAACTCTGTTCACCCAATTATGATCCAACAATTCCTTAACAAAACCTCATATTCTCAGTTTGTGCTGTTAATCCCTCTCGGGTCAACATCCCAACAATCACTCTATATAAGCCAACATTCTATGAAAGATCTAATAGAGACCTCTGTTATCCCACAAAGAAGATAACCCGAAACTTAGCCTGTGTGGCAGGCGTTTGAAAAGGAAGGGGAGGAGGAAATTCAGGCGCGAGGGAAGCGGGGAAGTACGCGTAACCATTCCTACTTAACGCGCTTGTTACCTCGCCAGAGTCCCCCTTTCCCCTTCGAACGCCTGCTACACAGGCCACCCAAGCCTTACACTCTGACAAAAGGCTACCTGTAGCATTCTAAACGTCAGCTGCTGAATCTTTTCATGGTGGCAACCAAGTTGATAAAACTCGACTATTGGAGTACACAGCGCAGTTTCTTGAAAATCTAACCCCTTACTTTCTGGAGCCGACATTTGGATAGACCTTACTATAAGTTTCACGTAACAAAAATTTGGTTTCGGGCGACATGACTTTAGGCGAGATGACTTTCAAGTGACTTGACTGAAACCCACACAATTCATACATCCTCCCTTGGCATGATCAATAATTACTACACATGGAGACTGAATCAATGATATAACTACACGTACAGTATGCAGCTGTGCTTACCAAGACATTCTTAAGCTTGATGTCACGATGAACCAATCCTTGACTATGCAGAAAGCGAATTCCCTCGACCACATCAAGGGCAACCAGCAGTCTCCCTCGGTAGTTGAGTCCAGTCTTGATCCCCTGGTACAGATCTCGCTGTAACCTGTCCATGACCAGCAGGACGGCTGGGGAGCTCCCTCCACCATAACTGTAGTCAATCACCGATCCTACGATTGACACAATACGGCTGTGCTTTGGAATGGACCTGGCGTGAATAAACAGTACATATCAGGCAATGTGGGTTAAACTACCATTAATTATGTGATTTATCAAGATTTTCAATAGCCTGTGCCACACCTTAAAATAAACTCTGGTTAAGTCCATCTATGAATCAGTAACGAAATCCTTGTTCTGGGCCTCAACTGTGTACCAGGATTTGAGTACTCACCATGACTGGCCTGTTAAAAAAGCCATTGTCAATTTGCCAATCAAGTTGAAAGGATTTTCGAAATGCACTTCTGGTAATTTGTTGAGTCGGTAGGGTGCCAAGAAAAAGTATGTTTGCACTGCTTTGCAGACATTACATGTACATGTACTTACTGGAGTTAAATTATCTCTGCGAAGCAGACTAGGTTTCCAGTTGTTGTGTTATGAGCGTCAAATTCCTATGTGGCTTGTGAAATTAAAGTAACCTATTAAAGCTATGTATTGGATACACTTGATTTCATCTGTACAGGCCATTAACAAAAACTGGGCAGAGTACACATGTACATTGCATTAGGTCCACTGTTTGGTATATTTTTGACAGTTTTTTTTTTCATTAGATTTTTTATCCCAGTAGAAGGCTGCCCAAGGTTGAGTAGGCAGGGAAAGTTAAATTGAGAGTTGGCCTGTTGCTTGAAGGTGGGTACTATACTCAGAGTACACTGGTGGCGGTACTCTGTTCTACCTCCTAAAACTTACTACTTACCCCTGGATTGTAAACACAAGGGGGGGGTAGAATGGGGGTAGTGAGAAGTGGGGAAATGATAAACAGAGGGGAAGAATTATTACCAGTAGAGGTCAGACAACTGAGATTCCCACAACAAAGGAAAATTACTGGTATAGCCAATCCACGTAGGGCACATTGTACAGCTGTATCATTGGATTTACCTTGTGTAATAAAATTCTAAGGCCAAATCATTCCAGTGCTTGTCATCAGGAGGAACGACAGATTTGATAGCACAGGGATGATGGCCAGCCCACCGTTCGCAAGAATACACAACCCCATATTGGCCCCGTCCAACTTCCCGACCCATCTGCGGCATCCCAAACACCACTACATCTCTCAGTGAAGTACTTTCTAGAGCAAGTCTTGCAATTTTGGGAGCATGACATTTTCGGACTCTCATCCGCTTCTCCTCGGTTCTTTCAAGTCTTCCACAGTGGTGAGCTTCAAGTATTCGTAGCGAGGTGGCAAAAGCTTCGTGGGATCTCTGCAGGCGTAGTCTGAACTGTGAGCAAATATGTCTTGCCAGTCGAGTTTCACTCAGACTTGTCAGCATGTCTTGTGCTACTTTTCTTTTCCAGGCACCATCTACCTTAGGAGGGGCTTGACCTGGCAGTGTTTGGATAGCCTGCTTCATCTTTTCCCACAAAAGTCGAGCAAGTGAGGAGCTCGCTCGCACTGTGACCTCAATTTGATATGCAGAGTCCAACACCTGATGATTGAAATCACAATCATAAGTGACTTGTCTTTTCACCTTTCAACACTTTCGGAATGTGCTAACTAAGCACAAAACTACCCATTTTGGGCTTTTCAAAGCTAGTCTATGCATTTGCTAAGCCATAGTGAATAACCTGGTCGAACATACAGGAGAACATGGGCATACTAAAATTAACTACTGTTACAGTGTCCTAGCAACCAACTCCATAAATTATATTTAACTAAAAAATTCCAAGGGTTAACATAATTTCCAACTTCAGAGAAGCCAATCTCCAAAGATCTAAAATCTGGAGACTCTATTTTGCCCCAACCCTCCCGGAATGTCAACTGCCCCACCAACTCTTCCCCCCGCCCCCACCCCACAAATGACCCGGCCTCCAAGGGTTAGGACATTATATTAAGTCTTACATGAATTACATGCTATCAAATGCATGCTATCTGTAGCCAGGATACTCCCGGACAATCTGGGAGAATTGACATATATGCACCATCATCGCTAACATGTATCAGCCTAATTTACAAGTACAGCTGTAATTAAGTTCATGTGCATGAAGGTCAGGATTGCTCCAATAGCTAATAGTTTAACTTTGAAACTTCCAAAAGCATGAACCCCAGAAAGGAGAACATTCGCCACTTTAGTGACAAAAAGAGAACTGGAGCCGAAAAGCTCCCTGCATTGTTTCTACACTGTATTCACCAATTTCTTCCCCTGTCCCTATTAACAGTACCAGAAGTCTTGGCGAAGGTGAGCTTGGCCTAGTTTCTTTCTTGTTTCTTAAGTGGCAAAAGGGCATACTATAGAGTGTTTTCACATGACGTCATGGCGGCCATATTGGCGTCCCAAAACAATGAAACGGCGGCCATCTTGGTGTCCCAAACAAGTCCCCTGGGAGTTGAACTCTTTTCTTATGGAAATGCTTTCTTCTGTTATAATAAATAGGCATATATGCTGGCCAGGTGAGTGAAAACACTCTATAGTTCCCTACAGCTTATGCAGTGTCCTAGCAACCAACTTAATAAATTACAAAAAAAAAATGCAAGGTTAACATTCCACCTGGCCAACAATTTTAACCATGTTGTGTAAAGTAGCAACAGTTTAATAGATCTATGAAATTCCCGACCCACAACACATTGCTTACTAAACCAGGGCAAAAAAAGCCAAGCAAAATCAACTTTTCGATGGCTCTACACCTATATAGCTCTTAACCTACCAAATAACCCTTGTTGCCAATGCTTCCCAACCCACAGTGCTTTACCAAAATATTTCCAGTTTAATCAAGTAATCATGGAAATAATAAGAGCAAATTCACGAAGAAGACAAGATAAGAAGAAGCTTTAGAGAGAACTTAGAGGATGGCAACTTGTACAAAGTACTCACATGTCTCAGGGATGATGTTGCAGATATTCCATTCTCATGGATTCCTTCTAAATCCATCTTTTCCAAGCTCTCAATGCACCTTTTTAGAGTCCCAACAAAATTATCTTGCAGATACCGAACAGAACTGATCAACCCTTGGGCCACAGAATTGTTGATTCTTGCAAGAACAAGCTCTTGAATGACAGTTGTGCAGTACTGAAGATCTTTAGGATTTGCAAGTTCTTCGTCTGCAACAAGTTTTACTCCTTCAAATTTCAACTCCTCAACTTCTTTTAATACTTGTTCTGTAAGTGAGGAAATAGCTGAGTGTATAAGGTCCTTAATTTCCTCCTGCTTTCTACTGGCACTCTCCATAAGGGCTTTATACAGGTCTTCTTCTTTCTCTCGAGCATAATCCAGTCTTCGAGGGGTGATGACCATGTCCCGGGCCATGTTGAATGCGGTAGTGATGAACATGCCAAGAACTCTGACATGTGCTTCATTCAGAACTGTTGCTGCCCAGACCACATTGTACTGAAGTACTTGTCGCACAAAAAGCAAAAAACAGGGAAAAAGGGAAAAGTCTTCAATAAGATTTGATTTAGGCCGCGTGGCTGCCAAGATAGAAGAGTTTGTTGACTGTGAACCTCTGTCTAGTAACTTGTCATTGTTTTCTTCTAATGACAAGTATTTCAACTCACAGAGCTGTTCAAATAGCCTTGTCTTACTAGTCTTTGATTTTTCTTCACCAGTTACAGTTTTCTCTACATTAACGAGTCCAGGAGCTAAGCCATCATCCTTCTCACTCAAGTTATCAAGGACCTCATTGCGCCCAGATTCTGTCATGGAATCTGTAAGTTCAGCAGGTGGATTTCTATTGCACTTGACAAAAAACACTGCCATGTCTGGAGCTAGAGCTTTCACCTGAAGGAGTTCTGATTTGTCCTACATGAAGCAGAAGTAGACAAATGTAAATACAAGAAAGATAAATGTATCCTTGCCAGCAGCACACATACATGACATTTTTACAGCTAAGTGTTTACTACGGAGGGATAACACTTTTATTCATTATCAAGGATTTTCCCCTTACAGCAATTTTAAATTTGCCTCATCCAAAATTCCTACAGGTATTCAACACCTCAAGGAAAAATATTTCAAGTTCACTAAATTCTCTGCTAAATGTCCCACAGTTATAACAGTTCATTAAGTATGGGTTGAAAAAAAAATTGGGACATGGAAATCGAGCCGAACTAAAACCTTCAGGGCATAAAAACTAGATTTTCCTGGATTGTAATCTGTCTCGAAAGCTGGTTTTAACCAGAAACAGAGTCAAAGTCAAAGTTATCAAAAGACAGACATAGCTTATGCAATCTTGATTATTAAATAGTAGTTGTCACGGTCCAACTGCAAAAATCGGTTAAATTTTGAAAGTGCTTCAAGTCACAAAATTGTTCATGACCGTTTCGGAATAATCGAAGGAGTGTGAGTGAAAAAGCTCGAAAATGCTAGATTCTTTTTCTAACTTGCCCCATATTTGCTTGCGAAACGAAAGGAGAATTTGACATTATGCCAAGACCTCACATTAGTCCATGCATGGTTAAATATTCAGTCAATAGAACATAAGTTAGTGTATGCGTCATTGTATTTTTAACAAGAGTTATTTATGATCTTTAAGTGGCCATTTCTCCAGGAGTTGCTATGAGTTTGACAGAACAAAGCACGATGAAAGCTTCGTCTACTCAGGCAAAAGGCGAAACAAACATTGTACATTGATGTACTGTCAGAGGAAAAGGTCAATTCGCGCAGACTTCAAATGAGAATAATTACAATTACATGATTGGGCAATTTTCAATAAAAGTTCGTTTCGAACAATATTCAAAGAACAAAGTCCTTAGATTAATTTCGATTAGTTTCGTACGCTATGTATCATTTACACAGCAGAACCTGCTCAACCACGCGCGGACGGAATCAAACCCATTACCACGCAACAACAACAATTAGATGAAGTTTCACATTGACGAAACATAAGACTTTACCAACCTTTTCTGTCAAGATATCAAACTCTATGGCGTAAAGAACGATTGGAAGAACATCCTCGCAACAGGCTCGAAATATATTTTCTACATCGCCTTCCTGGTTGCTTGGGGAACAAACTAACTCGGCGCCTGCTTTCAACAAGGGATGATTCAACGAAACCTCTGCAACTGCGCTGGCCATGGCGGGATCGTCTCTTTCGACCTCCGTTAATTCGAGGTCTGCTCTTGGTACACATTCCCATGAACCTTCATAAGCATCTAGGTTCGCTGCTAGTTCAAAACTATCCGGTAAAACTAGGCTCACGTTTGAAATATTCCCATACTTTATTCGAATCATCCGCCATGATGTCCGACTATCGAGTTCTCCGACCACTGGAAGGACAGGTTCGCCAAGGAGTTCGTTTATCACGCAGACTTTAGCAAAGCATGTTTGTCCGATGACAATAATCGTTGGAGGTTTCTCGCAGACTCTTGCCAACGACTGATATTCGTTTTCCGGAAAGTAGGCAGCAAGAACATCTTCGCTGAACTGCCCTGAGTCTTGAATTTCCTGAAAGTATCTGTTTGTATCTCGCTTTATTTGCTTTAGAAGCCGCGAATGCTCTTGAAACTTGCTTATTTCGTAAGGGAGATTTGCAGCCATGTTAAGAGAATTTAAGACATAAATAAAATGATAAATGACCTGTTTTCCAAACCTTCAACACATCGACAAAACTACACAACCCAACGAACCAAATCGACTCCTGTTCTGCGGCAACAAAATTGCTCTTTTGAGTCTAATTGAGAAATTTCGCCATTACATATAAGGCTCTTAGACCCAAATATGGAAATATTTGGAGATTGCGTGACCCTGTTATGGCACAGTCATTCCGAAATAGAGAAAACAAGATAGGAAATTAGAGATGGTATATTCATTTTTTAAAATTAAACTGGTCCCATTTCATTGTGACTGTAAACACAGGCTAGCAGCGAAAGAAATTCTTTCTCCTACTGGGTATCTGAATTATATCAGAACAATGTAATCTGGCACAAAAACGTGACCGTCATTATACGAAGTCCAACATCCGAAGCTCCAAGAAAAACACAAGAAAATCACATGCGGAAAAAAGCGCTCGCAACGTCAACAAATTAAATTGTTTTGCAAACAAATGCATAGATTTTAAGCTTATAAAAAGTATAACGAACATTGCACTCGTACTAGTTCATTTTATTTTAGCACGCGAGAGTTTAGCATCACGGAAAATCTTCAACTTCCTCTTTAGAAAAGGTGAAACCAGAGTCAGTGCTACCAACATTTTTTTAAGAACAAATTAAACAACAAACACACTTTCTACCAATCTTTTTATTGCTGACTTTAAATATTCTACGAAAAAAGAATAAACAATCAAAATAGGCTATGCAACTCAATTGTAAGACCCCGGGCGTTTACACCGGTCCCGACAAATTCAACCGCCAAAAACTTGTACGAATGAGCTTTTCCACGTTTTCACGGAACCACTGAAACCGTGCAAGCTTTTGAAGGGCAACGTGTCCAAGTTTTTTACCTGATCAGAAGTAGGTTCTGTATTTTAAAACGGGTTGCACAGGTAAAAAATTCGTCCGTTCAAAAATCGGTCCAGACCAGTGTGAATGGGGTATAAGTCATTTTTGTCGGACAGTGCTACAGTTGCGAAACTTTGTCAAGGCAAAGAAAAGAGACTTTTAAACATAAACAGTGTCACACGCCCTCGTGATTAATGCAAGTTTGCGACAAAGTAAAAGTACTAAAGTAATCCCGTGTCAAACTTACGACCCTTTTTCAATTAAACTGATGCAACTTGTTTTAGACTTCCAGTCAAATCCGATCCGAAAGCGCGTGAGTGTCCATCAACCGGAAATTCTCAGGATCTTTTTCTAGCGGAAAAAAACTTACAGATACGAAAAGAAAAGCCTAAATTGAACCTGGAAGAGACTTTGCATCCCTTGTTTGCATTCTAATTATGGTTTTTGACCTCGCTGTCCTATTTTGTGCGAGTCTGTACTTTTAAGTACAGAAAAATTATAAATAGGAAGAAATTTGTTTCACTGAACTCCAAGCCGGTACACAAGCGATGACCACAATGCAATTGGAATTAAATGCTTAATTAATCTGTATTTTTGACGGGTTGACTGTAAAAAGTTACCTTTTTCAACAGCCGACGGTAAAATTTCACGCCGTTTGACGGCTGAACGTTAACCCCCATCGAGACTTTTTTCTCGTGCTTGAGTTATTTTATATTAATTGGTGGTTATTTAATAGGATGCCGAACTTACAGGTTTCACCACGTAAACAGACTTCTCGATATCCAATACAAAGTCGATAGTACGTCGTGCACGTTTTCGCATGACCCATTGTTAAACAGAAATGGAATGTGACTGAAAATCCGTTATTTAGGATTTCTACTTATTGGCCAGTGTGAGAAACCAAAAAGATTTTATAAGAAGTTTAAGTTTGGGCCGGGTGGGCCCGTTGCAGAAAAACCCTCCTTACAATCCGATCAGTTTTTGCCGATTTTTTTAAAACCGATTTGTCATTTTATAGAATGCGAGCAGTCTCTATCTTTCTTCAGCGCGTTTCGCTCGACGAACTAAGAGAAAGGAGAGACTCCTCGAAGTCTAGCATTCTATGGCCAGATTTGGTTGTTTTGAGCCCAAAAGTGGATTTTCTCAGAAAACTTCGTAATTTCCTTGAAGCAAAACATGGGGCTTGGTCTGCTTCACCGTCTAAACTGAGCAAAATAGGAAGCCTTTTTCCTTGTATGGGTCTACAACGCGAGGAAAGCACAATAGTAATCTAAAATAAGGTTAATAAAAAGCACCTTAGTCAGTTGTAGGTCGTTCTTTTATTTGAATGAAAAATCAAACAACTTAGAAAAAGATTACATCCACCCCAAATAATGAGCGTCCTGGATCACCGTCTATCCACTTTGTTCCAAGGTTAAAATGTGTTTTTTTATTCGTCACAGATAACATAACAAAACAAACTGAAAACACATAACCTACATAACACGCATCTACAACTGTTTTTCGGAGCCAAGGGGCCAAACGATAACAAAAGCAAAGTGGTTTTCAAACACAGTCTTCATTGTGAGAACAGAGGTCTAAACAAGAGGGCATGAATTCCGTTCACACTCTTTTCGTCCACAGCGGAGGTCTAACAGCTAACGTCTTTGTTTCAAATGCTAAGATCCCATTTTTGGTACTTCTTCATGTTGCAGAGTACTTAGCTCGTTTTGTGCACGCTGTGCAGTGGATATTACTTGGTATCCATGAATTTTTTAATACTAGATTAAAAAGTGATTTTTCCATCATCAACACACTACCCAGACGTACATGCCGAAGGGACATGGCACTGTGCATTGGTACTTCAAAGAGGTTTTATTTCATTTGCCTGTTTATTAAAAGTGACGTGTTCCAGGCCTCAGAATTAATTCAATCTGAATGAGCACCATTTTCTTGATTGGCTAGTACGTTCGTTCAAACAACTCGACCTACAGGCTACTTTGCTGGCATGTCTTCTCATCGACTGTACTGGACGTATTTTTATAGATGAATAAAACTCACTACGCTTTTACGTCGACTTATAATTTTCTCTCTGAGCTCTTTTTGGAAAGCTTATCTGAGCGCGCTAACCATTTGTCAGAACTGCGATGCCATACCAGACCAGTCCAGTCGTTACGAGAATTCCACCACTTTATTACATAAAATTTTGGCGACACTTTAATTTAGCGATTTTAGCGATTTTTCTAAAAATCGCTAAATTAAAATGCACCAAAATTAAGTGTCGCTAAATTAAAGTGCGGAGTGCAACATGAAATTCCGCTATCTGGTCAGTTTCACACAATCATGGTATTTGACCTGTTTGACGGTCGATTATGGTACTCGTGCATGAAAGGAGCATTGACTTCGTGTGACGATGTAAATGAGTGAGGACAGCATTAAGATATGACATTACGATTACAGTTTCGTTTGTTTCGTTAAAAATTAAGTTTCAGAACATTGTATGATTTTGCTTTAAATGAAGCTGTTGACGTCCATGATTTTATCACAAAAATTTTCTGTACTGTTCTATTGTCGTCGTAAAAGTTTTGAATACCTTAATTCTCCAAAGTTTCAGTTCATGAGATCGCGAAAATTCAGTGAATTATGTTCCAAAATTTACGAAAAATCGCTAAATTAAAGAGTCGCCAAAATTTCATGCAATAAGGTATTTATCAGGACTATCCAGCCACACAACCAGTCTATTTCTAAAATAAGGGTAGACGTCACCATTTACAAACACTGTTTTTGTTATTTAAATTTGTAACGAGTGAAATAAAAGAATGTTTTGTTTAAACAACCAGTGCGCTTCTAATTGGTACATTAATATCAACAGGTGACGTCAACGTGAGCATCTCTATAGTATGCACAGCAAAGACGAGTTCTAGCAAAAAATTTCGAGAAAAGACGAATATTTCAGTTTCAAACAAACACGTCAGGCCGGCAGTTCTGACTTTTTTTTGTAAGCTCCCTGAGTTGTCTAACCTGTAGAACAAGACATCCTAGTTCCCAAAGTACGAATCATCTAGTAAAAAGGTTGACTTCAACGACACAGCTTTCGCTTTAATAATAAGGAATACACTAAAACTACAATAAACTTCGTGTCGCTTGCTAAGCTTCTGTCATCGCAAATTTGCCACCCAAAAGACTTAATTTTTTTAAATTGTAAAAAATATCCCTTTCCTTGAGGTGCTACTTAAATGAAAAACTACCACCGCTGCTGCTAATGCTGGCTAGGCGTGTTACAATGCTTTACAATGCCAAAAGAAACCATCTATTATCACTATTGCATGAATAAGTTACAGGACGCGCATTTATATATATTTGTACATGAACTAACGTCGTTTTCAATCTAATTCATTTTCGTCTATGTCCTCGAGAAGGACTCGATCTAATTTCTCAATTTCTGCTAATTCTTCCGGCGTGGCCCCTGGTTCAAAGTGGGTCTGAAGCGAGAGCGTGCTGGAGCGCCGCTTATAAAACAACACGTAAGCGTATTTGGAGATGACTCGTTCTTCTGTAGTTTCTGTGACACTTCTGTCGTCAAAATAACGCCAGCCTGTGAAGAAAAGACAACACATAAACAAAGTGGGTCGCTAGGGGGAGGTATGGTTTAAGGTTTAAGAGAAGAAAAGATGAACGTTTGCCATATTGCAGAGGAGTAAAGGCCAGAAAAAAATACGACATCGTAGCACTCCCACATACAAAGGTTTGAACACAGATCCTGATAGCCAGTTACCCACCGATTAGAGCGATTTTCGTATGACCTTGAAAAATGGTTTCCGTAAATGTTCGTTATTTGTTTTATCAGCCAATGGATGAAAAGATCAAAACATGGCCTCTTAATTTTCCACCGCAGAAAACACTAATATGGAGAAGGCATTCTTCGATTGGCCAATCGTGTTGCAGTATGACGTCAAAGCGAAGTATCGGTTGATTTCTAGAAAGTTATCGGGCATGAAGTTGTTGCACCCGAGCTTTCGATTAACCAACCAAAAGCCAGGCGCGTTTGTGTCCGTTCGATAAACCAATCAAATCACTCTATTTCTGTTCGTATCTTGTTTCTGTTTCATTTCAAGGCAATACGAAAATCGCTCTATCTATTCGACAATTGCATCTTCAAATTGTAGCAACATCAATGACTTGGTACGCTATGATTCTGAGGGAAATATTGTAACGCATCAAATTTCAAAACTGATTTTCGTATAGATCAGGGCTCGAAAAAAAACTTGAATTCTAGCTTGTCCTTTGGGCAACTGGGCAGCTCTCACATTTCGATTGCCCAGGGCCACTTCTTGCGCTTCTTAGTGAACGATATTGCTAGGGATGGCTCGCCTGGGCCTGTGCTCATTGGGGAAGTGAGCTATAGACGTTACTCGCCCAGAAAGGAAATCTACTTGACCCGACTACCGGACGGAACATTTTTTCGAGCCATAGAGGTGTAAAAATGTGAAAAATCACTGGCTGACTTTCATATGCAGTCCATAACCTCTTCTAGGTTATTTATTTATTTATTTATTCACTTCTTCCATATATATGGTACGGAAAACACAACACAGCGGGGCTCCAATTTAAGTGTTTCCTTACAGATAACCCACCCAGCCCAGCCCACCGGGGTCCACGTCCCCTACTCTTTTCGAACAGTAGTGTGGGTTCTTTTACGTCCCACAAGAACCAGATTAATGAAAGTACTGTGAGACGGGACCTACGTTTTCTCGTCCTTATCTGAGAAGACTAGAAAGTCTAACCGTTTGCAAATGTTATTGCACAAGTAGCACTTTCTCCTCAGTTATTTAAAGAGCCTGAGTGTTGGTGCACCCGGGGTTTGTACCCGTGACCTCCCGCTCGGCAAACCGGCGCTCTCCCAACTGAGGTAATCCGCCGGCGGGTTACTTTGGTTAACAGTTCGACTAGTATATGATACGTTCAAGTTAAATCCGGACATACCTAAGCCCTCAGTCTTCAGTCCATCGATGGGATGATCGGCTTCCGCTAATCTCCCAAATGCAGTGTAATGGCCAAAGTTAACAGTACCGCTGTGGTTGGCCACAGCAAACAAATCATATAGTGATCCTTCTTTATCTTCGTTATCATCTTTTCCTAGCGTGAACCGAGACATGTCCAACCCTCTGCAAGAAAAAGAGGCACTTTTAAATTCTCCAAGTAATAAAGAACTTAACTTCAATGATCGTAAGAGGAGTAACAAGTGAAAAAGGAAATGATCCTCGCAGTTCAATAAACATCCCAAACGGTAGAAAAAAAAAACTGAAAAAATTCAGGCTTGACCGGGAATCGAGCCCTGACTTTTGCGATGACCGAACGCAACCGCTTTGGTTGTTTATTCAACTGCGAGGATCATTTCCTCTTTCCTATCTTTATTTTCACTTCAAAATAAGAGTCCTTTCATATAATTATATTCAGGAGTAATAAGTGTTTACAATTACAACATTCTCTAGTGATGCACGACGGAAGGATTGTAAATCTAACGAAAAAGGGCCGATACATGAAATGTTCACGGTTTTCCGAGTTTGATAGTAACACGCAATTCGGTAACTGAAAACAGTGGAATGATCAACGAGATAAAAGCTACACTACAGTGGTGCTTTCTTACTATTAAACTTTACGCATTTCAACATGATGCAGTGATTTTGTTACAATAGTTATGGTGAGTCCTGAGACTCATCTTGAGAAAAATCATGAGTTCCAGTCCATAACCATTGAGTACCAGAAAAAAGACAAAACAACAACAACAACAACGAGTCAGAAATTGAAAATGCTTGGGCCTCTAAGTAACCAGACAGTTAATCTGAAGACAGACACCAAAACTCTGCACTACAGTATACTGAAACTGAAATACAGTCCTTCTACTTTAAAAGCACAATAAAGGCTAAAAGAAATAGGCATCGTTAAACAACAGTCAAAATAACTGCCAGAGATATTACACGAACGTCATATTTCTACAAATACACATGTTGAGATCGATCGACCGATCTTTGCGTCCTACGGGACGCATGCCATGAATTCTATGCGACAGGGACGCAAGATGCAGAGGTAACAATATCGCTGAAAAGGTGTCAGGAGAATGGTTACTGGAAAAAATAAAACGAAACTTTACCCACCTTAAAGGGAACTCAACGAGTTTGGTAATTTTGTCTTTAAAAAGGATGTTCCTAAACGAGAATCTTTTGAGGTGAATGATAAGGATCTCTGGCAGTCTCCATACAGAGAGCTGCTTGGTAGCCTCGCGATGAGCCTTGCATTTAGGGCAGTACCTACAAAGTAAGCCACAGTATGTAAGTCGCAAGTGCAAAAGAATAAATAAATAAATAACGATTAAGGGGTAGCACATCCACTAAGTGGTTCTTCGTCTACCTGATTCCTGGTCGAATTGGAATTTGGAAATGTTGATTTTTAGGAGAGAGGAAAACCGGAGTACAAGGGTAAAAACCTCTCGGAGAAAGGGAGAGAACCAACAACAAACTCAACACCCACATATGGCGTCGCCGCCGGGATTTAAACCCGGGCCACAAGTGGGAGGCGGGTGCTCTAACCACTGCACCATCCTTGCCCTCAAAGATACAAAGCTAGTTTCTTCGTCAAAAGTGTAGGGAAGGCCACTTCTTTTAACCTGATTTTTCTTTCTCCTTGTCCCGCCCCCAGCCCAATGTCAATTCAGAGATATTTCAATCTGACCAAAAATTGATTGCTCATTACGCATACAGAAATGCAGATGTGAATTGACACCGGTTGCGGCAACGAACTAAGGTACGGAGAAACGGGCAGCAAAAAACGTGCCGCTGTTTTGCAACATTACTGCAAAACGAGTTGAATAGCGATGTTGCGCGTTTTACCACCCACGTTCATAGCTGTTTTGCAACTATTAGATTGCTGCAGGTTCCTAAAAGTTTTCGCAGGATGTAAAGAGTAGTTCTACTTTTTGCAACAAAATCTGTACAAGTTGCGCGTTTTCAAATTTGCTTTGCAACAAGTGACACGTACGGCGTGACTCTCGCGTAAGTTCATCCAATCAGTCAGTATTCACGCAATTTGCAAGAGCCTGATTTGTTCCAAGACAGGTTTGAACGTGGGTGGTAAACGTACACCATTCCTTTTCAACTCGTTTCGCAGCAATCTTGCAAAACAAGTTGCAAGTTTTTTTTTACGCAGCTTGAAGGATACAACTTTCGAATAATAAATTCATTGATAAGACTCTTGGGAGTAAACTTGAGCTGGCTTGCCTGTAAGCTGTACAACTTTCCCAGCTACTCCGGGGATGTAGCTTCTTCGTCAAATTTGAAGGTATTTACAGCAGTCAAGCAAAATCCTTAAAGGGGCTATGTCACGACCTGCGCATGTGCAGGATTTTTGCCTGCTCTGTTGATTTTCTCAACTGTCCGCCATATTGGATTTAGGAAATCAGGCCGATTTTTGGCAGCAAACTTCCGTTAATAGTACAGTTCGTTCCGAGCATGCGCAGTTTAGTGACATAGCCCATTTAAATCATTGGCAGCAGGATTTCATTTTACAGACACTTCACACATTTTACCAAAATATAAGTCTTCTCCGTCCGCAAATAGCACAAGCTTTTCGGGGCGGGCGGGGTGTACAGTTACAGCAGTCACTGAGGATACGTCGGTTAATTAAAGAAACGACAAAGTTCAGTTGTAAATTATTTCAAGTAAATTACGGGCATAATGGACAATAATAACAATCAACAGTGCATTACAGGCAAAAGTTGCAACAAAGCAGAGCAATGTATTAGTACTGAATCTTGTCATGGCTGGAGGTGGCTAGTTGTTTGGCGAAAGTATTTATTTTACCACTCACCGAAGCTTTTCAAATAGAGCGACATGGAGTGAGAAGTTTTACGGAGGGTGGTTAATAGAAAGGAGAGACCAAGTTTTGTATTAAAACGCTCTGGTTTGGAAAGGCAAAAATGAGACCACTAACATCAACTACAGCAATGCCACAAAATGGATGGCATGACAAGGATACAAACTCGATCATGTGCGTTGTATAAGTTGTGAAAATAGTTCGCTTACCAGGCATCGTTTTGACTGAGTGTCTCAGGCTCCGTGAACAGTTCCAAGCACTCCTTCAGCGAACAACTGTACGACTCTGAAAAAAGCAATTACAGGAGTTGACTTTCGAGTTCCCAATTCTAATAGCACTAAGTACCCCTTCCTTCCCACAGCACCCCGCCCAAACCCCGCCCTGGAACAGGGGCTACTCTGATCTATCTCAGTGTTCGCCTGTTGCTGAAATGTTTCAAGAAAAGTAAAAGAAAAAAAGGAGGAATAATATTCACCTGAAATCTTTTCCGTCTGACAAGAGGAGTGTTCTTCGCATTCCTGAAGCAAACAGAAAGCCACAAACATATAATCAATACAGTTTATCTTAAGTGGTTGCTTCCTAAATTCTTATGACCTTCAGGTTTAATTAAGCCCCTTAAACGCTAGGAGAAATTAGATGCAGGTAAAATAAAATAAATGGTCAACCCAAGAGAAGATGCGAAAAAGGTGCAAGGAGAGAGGGAAGAACTGGAAGGCTGGATCACAGTTAGACTTAAGCCAGAATACGAGTAGTCTCTTCTCTTTTATAGTCGGTCGAGTGAAACGCCCGAGACCTTCGCGGCTTAACGTACGCGCGCGCGTGCACTCTCCTCACTAAATCTGCCTGATCGCAGTCTACAAAAAGCGCACACTGGCTAGGTCTGATTTTTACATAAAGCTGTTTTCTCTACATACGTAGGATTGCAGTCCGCGATCAACTCAAAGAGTGTCTTAATCACGGACGCTTCGGATCGCTTAACATGCAAACATACCAAGTCTTTCTCTTCCGCGATGACAAACCCGGATGAGCGAGGATGGTTTCTCCAATCGATAGAGAGATATTTGCGTCCTAAATCCAGTAATTCTGATCCTGTTTAAGCACATAAAATAGTAAAAAAAGTTACTATACTGAAATAATCTAGAATCCCAAGCATTCCTTCAGTTTCTTCCAACAGAACTGCGTTAACTGCCCTTCCATAACTATAAACAACAGAGTTCATATTAACCCGTAAATGAAAAGAACTCAGAAAATTGGCCTGCTTCCAATGTATGGGTCTTCACAGCTCAATTGGTAGAGCACTGCAGCGCTAACGCAGAGGCCAAGGGTTCGAATCCCGTTGAAGTCCCGAAATTTTTTATTTCATTTTTCGGGTTAATTTGCCATTGCTAAATTGCAAATACCACTGCGACGATCATATCTTCATTCAAATTTGTGTTTCCGCAGTTCACATCAACTTCAATGATTAATAATAATAATAATAATAATAATTATAATTATAACAACAACAACAATATAATAATAGCGACGCGACCACTAGTTTCTCCACTAGATGACGTCTGAGGACCGAGCGCAAAAATTCCACACGGATGAACTCATCTGTGTTGTGACTTGTCATCAGCATGGAACTTGTGCGGTGGCGTGACTAAATGTCGGCAGTTGTACTCAGTCCATTCTCTACCCTGCGAGAAGCGACTACATTTCCGCTGTGTTAGCTGGCGTGCGAAAAGTAGCCTCTGCCGACAACCGTTCAAATCCGTCGGGTTTTTCCTGTTCTTGACCCGTTCAGAGGATTGCGCAAGTGTTGCGTGAGTCTTGCGTAGCCAATCAGAGTTGTCGCAATTTTTTTATTCCCGCGAAACTCGCGCAATTTGGCGACAGACCTGACGATTAATTTTGCTTGCGAATCGCGTGACAAAATTCGCGCATGCACGATAGAACATTGAACGGTTGTCGGCAGAGGCTACTTTTCGCACGACAGCTCACAAAGCGAAAATGTAGCCTCTGCTCGCGGGGTATCCATTCTCACGAGGCTACCTGAAATGAGAGTGGACATCAAGAATTGCTTTACGAAAGATTTACCTTGATCTGATAGGCGGCCGCCTTCTTGTCCAACGATACCTTCGCCGTAAGCTGTGACAGGTTTGACATAAAACCGGGGTTGACCGTCTCTGGGTTGAAGCGGCGAAGAGGCTTCATCTGAAGGAAGAAAAAGAAAGAACACACATTACATAGATTTGCTAATGAATATTTGTAACATTTTTAGAGTCAAATTGTAGTAATTTTTAGGGCATTTTTTTTAAATTGTTTACTCAGGGTTCGTATTCTTTTGAGCTCTTCAAATTCCACGATTTTCCAGGACTTTTTCCACGACCTTAGGTTTAGTCGTCACTTGAAAGGGAACCTCCACTCTTACTACAGAATAAGTTTAAATCGAATAAAATTATGTTGATAAACAAATTTGTTCGAAATTTGTCTTAAAAAAAGTGTTTATATCAGGAAAAGTGAATTTTAAAATCGCTTATTTTCACTTTCAAATTTCGCGGGCGCCGCCATCTTGAATAATTGTGACGTGTTACGGTTGCTCTATTGTTCTGACACAAAGAGCTTTTGTTTAATAACAATAGGGCAACCATTACACGTCACAATTATTCAAGATGGCGACGCCCGCAAAATTTGAAAACAAAAATAGGCGAATCTAAAAGTTATTTCTTTCGGATACAAACGCTTTCTTTAAAAATATTTTAGATTGACTTGACTGTAACAGTTACTTCCTGTGATTTAAAGTTATCTTTTTGTTGAAGTGGAGGTTCCCTTTAAGAAACTTTCACAGTTTTCCTAGTTTGCGGGTATTTTTTGACCTTAGCAGTTCAACAGACACAGGCTCTGGTGTCCACCAAAATGCGTGCCGTTTGCGCCGTTTAATTACTCCTCTCTATCTTACACTGTCCTTGCTTTGCCATCTGCAGTAACTAAACTATTAAACAAAACTTTAATTTTCCATAACTTTAAAGGACCGACAATTAAATTCCATGTCTTTCAAGGCCTGGCAAATGAAATTCTTAAATTCCATGACTTTCCAGGTTTTCGATGACCTGTGCGAACCCTGTTACTATTAGCGGAGATACGCTTTAACATGGGGTCGAAGACTCTATTGCATTAAATCCCTTGGCTTTTTTATTTCTACGATTTTCCTTGACGTTCTTCAGGGTTCGTACAGATTTTTGATCTAAAATTCAAGACTATTTCCAGACTTTTTCCAAAAATATAATTTCTTTTTCCAGGCTGATACGTGATCAGTAGAGAGACTGAGAACTTGAAAAAAAAAAAAGAGGCAAAGCTTTTTCCATGACGTGCAGGCGAGATTGAATAAGATTCGACCTACACGACAAGATTTCTTTTGTGAAGCACTTGTTGTAGCTTTCAAAAAAACTCAAGGCTTTCTACCATATTTTCAAGACTTTAACTCTATTTTCCAGACTTTTCCGGGTCTGGAAAATAGCTGGGAAAATTTGAAGACTTTTTCAAGAATTCAAGACTCTGTACGAACCCTGTCTCTTACTCTTCCATGAATGTGGTAAACCTTAACAGATAACACGATACCTGTACCTTTTTCTTCTGATGTATCATTGGCAGGGCTTGTTTCACCTGAGGACGTTTCTCCCTCTCTCACTAACGAATTTTGCCGACTAATTTCACCAGGACGTACGTCTACAGAATACCTGAAGAAAAACCAACATTACCTTTAAATTTCCACAGAACAAAAAGCTTCTACATAATCCTCACATATTTCATATCAACTTCGGAATTCAAGTGACCGTGACACAACTAGTTTCCAGTTGGTGTACTAGAATTTAAAGTACAATTACCATTACCATTTTTTTGTCCATCATCCTGTCCCACACAAACTGCGCGCTGTAAACGTCATGTACAAAGTGGGACAAAAAACACCCGTTTCTCCTTGCAAGCATGGACACAAAGCAAAGTAAAACAAACTTTCCGTTTCTCTGTAATCCACCATCTCTTTTTCCTTTTTCGCAAGGGGAGTGTGTGTGTGTGTGGGGGGGGGATGGGGCATGGGCGTCTATTTTACACTTCGTACTTCGTATTTTACACTACTTTGAAAGGAATAAGGAATCTCAGTTTTCAGGTCGGCAGATTATATTTTCTTTAGAATTTGCCGGTAATTTACTAATGTACTGTTTGGGTTTCTAGCATGTGCGTATCAGACGGGCTTATTGCCTCAATCTTTACAATGGTCAAGCGTGGTTGAGGGAAAGAAAAGAGAAGTAGGTGGATGCTTGCTACGTGAACTTGGGCTCCTTAATTGTTGTCAAAGTCACAACTCAGTTCACCACTTCAGAAACCAGAGGGAAAACTGGGCATTTAACGTCGCAAAGATTTCTGGGACTGTTACCACGGACAAGGCAGAAGATTAGCCAATAGCTGACCGGCGCGTCCCCAGTCACTATCCCAGAAACACTTGCGGGACACATTTCGGTTCCTGGTTCCTTCTCGTTTGCAAATCTTACTTGGCATACTCCTCTGCGATGGACTGTAGCCGTTGAAAAGTCGCCTCAGATGCGGGAATACTAGCAATAAAAGGAATTCCTATATGTTGAGGTATTCTTTTGCAGCCCTTTTTATGGGTCGTCCAATGTTCCTTCTGACATTCCCTGGGGAAAAAAAAGAATGGAACATGGAGTAAGAACACTTGTGGAGCTGTTACAGAAAACTGTCCTTTGAAAACAGGGATAATTTTTAAAATTTATACGGATGATCGCATCCACTATCTGAACTCCTGCAAAAGGCTAGATGATGACGACTATGATGTTCATAGGAAGCTTTAGCAACGACGACGAAGACGCTTTTTCCAAACGGGGTCGCGATTATTTCGACCAGCGTAAAGTCTCACATGTAGGTGAATTTCCCTGGAATTGAATTTTTGGGGACAGTCACCAAGTTTAGAGGGAGAAAGAGAAGTTTACAGTCTTGTGTTTACGTCCTCCATAAAACGTCGCTTGAGGGAATTTCACGTCGCAGTCGTGCAGTGACGACAAAGAAATGTACAAAAAAGTGTGCTGCATGTTCAAAGTTGTTGTTTTTGCCAAGTCTCGTTGACGTCGCCGTTGTGGTGCTAAAGCTTCCTAATAAAAGACCTTTAGATTCGACGACGAGAACGACTACGAGGAAGGGACTAACTTGAAGTTATTTTATTTCACGTATTCTCAAAAAAAATACACCCCGAAACACTTCGATGTGCGTATTTTTTTTCACCAAAAAAGTTAGCAAGGTTAATTTTATTGAAGGAGGTTAACTATTCACCCGATTGCAAAATGATAAATTATCTTACCGTTGATGGCAGCTTGTTTCCGACACTAAGACGTTCTCGCTAAAACCCGTGGTACACTGACAACAACTGCCTCGTTTTCCCGCCAAAATTACGCTGGCTCACGCGCGCTCACTACTTGGTATTGAGAATCTCGACCTCGTAGTCGTCCAGGTCTTAGAAACTTAAGGTTTTTAATAGAGACCTTTAGATTCGAGGACGAGAACGTATACGAGTACGCGATTTGAATTGAAGTTTTTTCGCGTATTCTCAAAATATAGACTCCCCGGAAAGCTTCATTTTACCATTTTTCACTAGAAAGTTGGCACAGTTATCTTTAGTGAAGGAGGTTACGCCCTCTCCCGATTGCAAAATGATAAAACTTCTAACATTTGATAACTTGTTTGCTCCACTTCTACATTCTCGCTAAGATTCGTAGTAGAGTGCAACGGCTACCACGTTTTCCCGCCAAATTGACGCTGGTTCACGCGCGAGCACTACTTAGTACTGAGAAAATCTCGTTCTCATTGTCGTACTCGTCTTAGAATCTAAAGGGGTCTAATGATGACAAGAACGACGACGACAACGACATGCTCATGTCAGGTAATCCAAGACATTTATGGATTCTGGACTACACGCTTAGGATTCCGGATTTCAATCGTTAGCGGAATCCCAAATTCCTTGAGCTGAATTCCGGATTCCAAAGCCCAGGCAAAAAGTTCCCGAATTCCCGATTCCACAGGCAAAATTTCTCGGATTCCGGAAAGTGTATTACCTTACATGAGGCGATATGGTGGAATGGGAGGAGGCTGCTACTGGTGATAGTGACGATAATAATGAAGACTATGACTCTACTTTTATTTAATATTAAGGAGCTTAAGCAAAGACGTTTTTGGGCGACGCACGTCAAGCGGAAGTGAGGTGTTTTCCCTTTCAATATCACTTGACGCTACCAAATTCGTATCGCTAAATTTCTTTGCTTTGATACAGACGATCGATTTGCACGAAACTCTGGGGAAAACTACAGCCCAAGAATGCCAAAAATTTCACTTCCGGTTAACGTGTGTCGCTCAAAACATTTTTGCTAAAGCTCCTTAATATTAAAATAGAGTCATCGTCTTCATTATCATCTACAGGTGTACGTAAATTGCCCCCAAAATAAAGAGCTTTAGAAACTAATCACTCACTGGTTGCAGTATCCTATTCCCCAGCACTGCGTACATCTTCGCAGGGCTACACCTGGCCCTGGTCGACTGTAACAACTGGCACAATAGGAGGGTGCTACACGAGCACACACTGTTCTCTGTGGAGATAAAGCAGCCATTTAAGCGACAGTTAAAATGGCGACCTAAGAGAAATAATGGATTAGTGTACGTTCACCCTAGAGGAGATTTTTGGTGATTCACATTCGTTTCCGGATTGATCACATTTAAGGTACTCGGAGGCGTACAGTAGGTGTTTAAACACATTCATTTTGGATGCTACGGTTGTTGTAGTAGTAATGATTGAAACTGTTAAAAAATATATATATTTTGTTGAATGGAAAACTTTTGTAGTTTCTTTTTGGGTTATAGTAGCAATTATTTATCAAAATGTAAAGATGGCTACACTTATTTCGGATGTTAACGTTCACTGTACTACATGCTAATCTTAAGCAGCAAAGATCTTCGTGCGGTGGTTAGCAAAAAACAAAACAAAAAAATAAAAAAAAATCGAGAAAGTCAACTAACCTGTACGATTGGTACTTCATAGACTTCTTCGGCTGCTTCTTCTTCACTGAGTACTTCATACCTATGTTTAAAGAGTACAACAATTAATAAAACTGCAAAGCGCAGCCACACATGATCGAGAAACATCGAATAAACCGATTAAATGAAAAATATGTTCACAAAATTGCGGTCACCTTTCAAATTCGTTGCTACAAGTCGACCTCTCGACTTGTTTCGCCTCAATAGATTTGAATCATATTATAAATTCACGCGGGAAAAAATGATTGACATAATGCTGTGTCGGGAGCGGCGTCAAATATCACCCACCGTCCGATTGGTCAATTGTCATGACGTAACCAGGAGAATTTTCGACCGGTGAATTAAGCGCCAAACAGGTATGAAAAGTCCTTTAAAATGGCAGAACCAACCAGGGGAAAAAATAAGGACTTTTAGAAAGTCTACTACAATGAAGGTCGAAAGAACTTGGGAGAGCGGGAAAAACCTCTTCCTTACTTAAAGTTACACAGGACTCCTAGCAACAATCTTTCGATCAGTTTGGGCTCATCCCTTCATCTCCAACTTTCTCCACAACTTTTGTGCCCCAAAGGACTCATTGGAGTTTATTTGAAGTTTATTGATATTCATAAAAGTTGCAAATTAAATTAAATTAAAACATACACGTACACACAAACATCCTCTACCCGCAAATAGCTTGGCTAATCGAGGCGGGCAGAGGAAAGGATAAAGTACTAGGAAAAGGAAGATAGATCTATATAAATGATACAAGAAGGACTGTCGTTACTACAATACAACGTTACAAAGTGTACCAACTTCTTTTACATTTCTTGTCATCTTGCTCATTCCCAACCATTTTGCTCAAAATTAAACCTTGTTTTTAATGTTTAGGGTGGGAGGCCGGGGGGAAGTAGTCAGTTTAACAAACATCACTGGAAAGGTCCTGACACTTTTGACCTTCATTGTAGATTGACTCAACTCTGGCAAGTTCACAAAATGTATTCATGGACAACCACGGTTAGAGTTTTATAGTATTTTTTAAAAATGTCAGGCAAGAGTACATTATAACAGAACTCAGAACAGGACTTCAACTGGATTTGTATAGGTAATAGCATGATTTGTAGTGATATTTGGTATAAATACCAAGAGTGATATTTCTAAATTGTTATTCGTAATTTCACAAGCCATTAGGTGAGTGAAATTTGAAACAATTTTGAAATATCACGAGTGGTAATTATGCCAAATATCGCGTACAAATCATGCTATTATTCGTTTATGCTACTACCTGCAAAAAGTTTCTAATTTTCACATGAAGGTATTTCAAATTCAGCTGAAATACCACTGCTCTAAGCCAATCAAATTGCAGAAATTTCTCATGTAGTAGTATAAAACATGTAATCCCACAACATACTTACACAACAATAATATCTGATGATATCACTGAAGAAAGACTGTAGCCACGATCAAATGTACGATGGAATTTGCCGCCGAACACTTCGCACACCCTCATCTGCATACAAACAATACAGAAAGAGAAATATTGTAGTTTTCAATATAATGATAATAATGGCTTATTCACAGATCCACTGTAAAAATTATTTATGGTTCTTCATAATTATGTGCAACGAAAAAATCACTGAACAACAAAAACAGCTATTCATATTAAAGCTTAATAACAATAATAATAATAATAATAATAATAATAATACTCGTCTCTTGAATTGCTACAGTCTTAGTAATATCCTCTACACTGGAGGAACAAAATTAATAGACTACTTATGTGCTTTAATAGACCTTTTTACCGATATGGCGGCCATATTGAATTTATTAGATTTAAGGAGTATTATGGGATGCCCAGGGGGCACTCGCTCGGTATTTACCCGCGCTTTTCAGGCAAAAAGAGAGCTTCAATTTATATTTCTTGGGAAAAAGGAGATCATTATTACATCCAAACATGGCACGACAATCTTTTTTTCCGATTACAATCTTTTTCTAGGAAAACTTTAAAAAAATTGGCCCAAAAAGCACGCGTAAATACTGATGCAAGTATACTGGATCATCCTCATGTCCCCATGGGTATCCCATAATACTCCTTAAATCCAGTTAATTCAATACGGCTGCCGTATTGGTAAAACGGTCTATTGCCCCATATAAGGGAATCTGGATTCCAGAATCTGGTAACCTGGGCTTTGGAATCTGAAAAACAGCTCACAGAATCCTGAATCCCACTAATGATTGGAATCCAGAATCCCAGTTCCACTGAGAGAAAAGATGGAATTCAGTAGCTGGAATCAAGAAAACAAGACTATCTTGGATTCCTAACGTCATGGGGCGAAAAAGATTTGCATACATTTACATAAATTAGTTATTAAGTTAAAGGGAAAAAACTGATCATTCATTAGTCAAACAGTGATTACTTGCGGTGGGAATGATCTGTTGCAAGTGCAAGCGAGATCACTTCCATTTAAAATTTGGCTCCAGTTGCAGTTCATACATTCACTAATCTCGCTCTTATGCAACATTCACTTCTTTTCCACTTTATGTGTGACCTTTCAATTCATCATTTTCAATTTCATTAGCAGCTACTAAGTTTGAAACAAACATAACCCGGATACACCAACATACATTTCTTGGCTCAATTGCAGTGATTCTTTGCACAGCAGCTGTGAGTTGTTCAACACAAGCATCCTGAGTTAGCTTCAAGACGACCTACACCGCAATTGGGTAAAATGAGAATATGATCAAAATGCTTAATACAATTTCGACTATATTTATAACTGAAGATTCACCTTGTTTATGCCTGTACAATAAATATAGGTACTCTAGAACGAGAAACAAAAAAGTAAAACCTGTTTTGCAACATTGCTGCCAAACAAGTTTCAGCACAAATTGCGCCTTTTTATACCTAAGAATCAAGCCTGGTTTGTTGCAGGATGCAACAATTTGTTGCTGAAAGGAGAGATACTCACTACTTTCTGCAACAAAATCTGTACATGTTGTGCGCTTTAACGGCACAAGACTAACTTGCTTTGCAGCAACATGACGTAACTCCCGTGTATGGTGGGACTACTGCGCAATTTTATACAATCAAACTTCAGTATTCAAGCAACTTGCAACAACCTGATTTATTGCAAGACAGTTTTAAAAAATGTGGGTGGTAATACACGCGACACCACTTTCCAGCTCATTTAGCAACCATGTTGCAAAATAAGTTGCACATTTTTGTTTCAGGTTTTACTGTAGCTTAAGCCACTTGTTATGCACCTTCTTTTACGGTACTACTATTGACGCAGGAATGGTACCCTGTAGCAGTGCATGTCACAACCAGAATTGAACTATGCTTACAGTATACCACCAAGAATGCTTACTTCCATGTTTGCTGCAGGGAAAACCGAAAGGGAATACAATCTATACTTGTGTTTGATTTTTCCTTATGAAATTTTCTTGCAGTGGTTTCTACAAAAATTACCTGAGATTGGAAGTCACTGGAGACCTGTATGGTGCACATACAGGTTTCTATGTAACTTAAGTTATTACTTTTTAATACCTTAAGGGGAACTCTCTTGTGATCCTTAAAGAATATAATCACAGGAAGAATCTTCTGGTCTTTTGGCAGTGGCACAGATAAATTCATGAAAGGGTCATATTTAATAGAGATCTGAAAAATCAAATTTAGGGCAAAACTAAAATCAGTGCATAAAATGACAGCAACAAAGAAAACACAAAACTCTTCATGAACCACTTACCACAAACCATCACTCTTTAAAGCATACTATAGGCTGGCTATTCCCCGAGGTCAACCATGTACAGCAATACAAGTTAGACTGTACAATGATTTACACATACTGTTGCAAACGATCTAATAAACTGATGCCCTCTCTCAAATAAACACCTTGCCTAATAAACGCACCCCAACCCCCACCCCCTCCACTATAAAGTTTATATTAGATGCCCCTTGCTAGTAAACACCCCCTGTCTAATAGACACCCCACGTGACAGTTACTCCAAACTACTTCTATATTCACCATTTTCACATTGACCATAATGCACCTCGTTTACCCCAAATATTTTGCAAAACCATTGTCTTTGATTACTCGTGGAATGACTGTAAAACCCAGGAGAAACTGGAAACAATGGCTATGCAAAATTTTGGGGGGTAAACAGGGTACATTATGGTCTATGTGAAAATGGTGAACAAGGAAATACAGTGGAACCTCTATACAACAAAATCCTCGGTATAACAAATGGTATTCCTTGCCCCAGAAATAGTACAATATGTGAAAAACAACCTTGATGAAAAGAAACCTCCTTATAGTGGATACAATTTGCCAGTCCCTTGGGCCTTCATTATATCGAGGTTCCACAGTAGATCAATTCAATCAGTTTCTTGCTTGATTAGCAAGAGTTTGCACATTGCATCTTGTTCATTGTCGAGTACAAAGTAAGGATTCTTTGATCGAAGCTGAGCTTTCAAAAACAATAGGGATATCTAAACAGGCTAGACATATCAATGGATGGCCTGTACAGTCTGCCATTTATAAACTGTTGTTATTGGCTAAAAAATAATGTTTTGTGGAGTGTTCTTACAGTTATGAGGATAAACGCTTTCTTTTAAACACATCCAGTGTATTAAATGCACCCCCTCTTGGGTTATTACAGTGTAAAACTATAAAGTTGCCCCAAGCATCTACTACACTATAGATTGTTTATGGTATAGACAACTGACGCCTTGTGGACACCCCGCTATAACAGAGACCCCTATAATACAAACAGCAGCTAAATTCCAGGCAAAAATGAATTACAGATGATTGTTTGACTGAAATACATGGGAACTCCTGATATTACGGACTCTCACTAATAAGGACAATTATTTCAGGTCCCTACAGCGTCCACAATAAAAGGAGTTGAATGTAGTGATTGGTACATGTACATAAAACAAGTGTAACTGCACACTGCCGTGGACTGTACAAACCTTGTTGCAAACTGGACAAGTGAGTTTGGACTTCAACTGCCCTTGAAACAAGTCCACTATCACTGAATCATTCCTACTCTTATATCGTCTCCACGCCTCATTAGCTACTTCAGCATCAGGCTTGCCCGCTCCTTCCACCTCTTCAACATATGGCTTTTTCTTGATTCTGTTCAGATCCTAAATAGAAATAATTTTATTGAAAATCATACCATAAGATGATGAGAAACTCAAAAGTATTTTATTTTATGACAGAAAATCCTACTATCCTCTGGCAACTAAGAAACTTGTTTAGGAAGCTAGCTAAAACTATCACTCAAAGGTCAAATGAGCCAAGATTTTGACCTTTTTTATTTCAGTGCAATTTCAGTGTAATACGTTCAAGACGTACCAAATAAACATAATTAACGTTCGTGTCGCAAGTGGAGGTTGGGTGCCCATGGGCTAAGGGGGCAGCAACAGCAATTACATCCCAAGGCGGAAGAACACCCACAGGCCTACCAACCCACAACCCAGCCATGAGCTCCCCCCTACCCATTTCAAAGATTAAAGAGAGTGAAATGTATAATTATTAAAAGGATTCATACCTCATGCAGTCCATCCAGCAAGAATGCCATGAACTCTTGTGCATCCTGCTGCATAAAACCTTTAAACTGACAAACCTTTTCACCCACAATACCCTAAAATAATGCAATGCTTTCATTAGCTCACAGACTAACTGTAGATGCAAATGAAACAGCCAGACAAATGGCTAAAGATCTGTTGAGGTACATAATAATTATTGCAGACTTCAGAGCAAGCGAAAGTGCACGGCAGATAGCAGTTTGAGGCAACTCAAGAAATAATCACTACATTGTTAAATACAAGTGTACATTGTATGTCACTACAATAATTTTGAATTTGGAAGGAAGGTGATGAAATTCATAAACCACAGAAGCTAGTACGGCCTCTGTGACAACACACAAGTACATGATTGTACACTTAATGACCCTAAATAATATGCCTGTTGAGATTCTGGATATGATGAAGGCTCTCAAAATCAAAGAATCCAGCAAAATACAGACTGCAAGACAATAACTGTTGGGCTCACTACCAAGCAGTACAGAACCATGAAACAAAAACTGGCATTTTGGGCAGCTTATGAAAAACTCTTATCATGGACAGAATTCTTCAGACAAACAAGCAAGGCAAAATTTTTAAGAAGAGGAAAACAAAACACACTTTACCTTTAGTTTATAAGGCGATAAGGATCTTTCCTTTCCAGACCAAAGGTTTCCCATTACATGGGCAAAACTGACAGCAAGTTTCCCTCCACTACCCAGTGGGTTTTCAGTGTTTATGTCATCTTCGTACTTGTTAACTGCAAGTTACAAGTAAACAGAAAGTTAATACTTGTATTCTGGGTATAGAATGTATTTCGTAGAGCGTTCAATTCATCTGATTAAAGAGCAAAACTTGACTATAAATTCACAGGAGTTCAGGCTTCAGGAGAAATCATCGTTTAATTATAGTGACAATGTTGTCCGAAATCATAGGACCACACTCATCAAGTTTGGACACAGGGAGTAGAGGAGTTCAGTTTGAATTAGATAAAAAAGAATCTCTTACCTCTTTGATTGCTGTAATCTGTTAATTCTCTGTGTGTTAATTAGCCGTGTGTGATCATTCGGGGTCGTTTAACCATTAAACAATTCCCTTCGATCTTCCCTTTCACTCAACGTTTCTTTCAGACCGCCATTATTTTGAAACATAACAACTGCTGAATGAAGTGCTCATGGGCTTTTTCATTGGCCTTTGGTGGAGCGTCATACATGGCTAACTAACACACGGAGAATTAACAGATTACAGCAATCAAAGAGGTAAGAGATTCTTTATTATCTAATTCAAACTGAACTCCTCTGCTCCCTGTGGTTTGGATGGTTGTTATGGGGATGCATTACATTCAAGAGATTGTATCTAGGTAACAGATGCATTCTGTCCCAGTTGCGTTACTTTAAAGTTCAGTTATATATGGTCACACAGGCCAGTTGGAGCTTAGACCTAAGGGGTTAAAAAAGTTACTTCTTCTTTCCTTTTTTCGTAGAGAATTAAGGAATCCTAAAATTTTCGGAACCGAAAATACAATAAGAAAAGCAGGCTGGTTTTCATTTGATCACTACAATTCTTGCAATCGCTAAAAAATAAATACAATTTAGCGATCCTGGCACTTGATGATTTCTATTATTTATTTCAGATACTATCGCTGCGATCGCTGAGGTATAACTTTTTCTTTTTCGATAGTTACCAAAAAAGGGTGCCGTTCATAATCATTTACGGCTCCTTTTTGTAGAGGAAATTTATTTAGCTTATAGATAACACGCCTTGTGTGCTTTTGCGCCCACTGAAAGCGTGTTGTGCTTTTTCGCACGGAGCTTTTGTCTGAAAACTTTAACATGCTCTTTTGTTCGACTTGCTCACGCTTAATTGTATCAAGCGTGTCCTCTGAAACAAAAGAAATTGCTAACGAGGCAAGATTGCAAACGTGCTAAAGCGTGTTAAAATAAATTCTTTTGTTTTAAAGTGAAAGCGTGTCGTGCGCGTGCTTTCACCTTTAGCATTAAAATCCTGTGGAGGGTCACATTTTCCATGCAACCCTTCAAACAAATTCAGAATTAACTTTAATAATATCATAGCTGAAAATGTAAGATAAACTGCATTTTACAGTGAAAATTAATATGTACATGTACAGTGTAGATGTAATTATTGATAATGGCTCACCTAGAAAATAATCCCTCAGTGGCCTTGTGTTTGCGAGGCACTGAACAATAGAGTTCAAATAACAAGTGTTTCCGAGATTATCCAGACCGGTCAGACCAGTATGGGCACCATCACCAGAGTCATTCAACCCATCATAATCGTCTCTGGTATTGCCAACATTCTTAGAAGCAGCAGCTCTGATTGCCTCACTAAAAGGCAAGTGAGTCGCCTCATTTTGATTTCCACCCATCACACCTCCTGTCTTGACTTGGCCATCACCACACCCCCTGACAGAAGGCAAGTGTGGGAGAGAGGGTGGAGCCGGTGGTGGTAAAGGAATTGCTGCTTCACTAGACGATGTGGAAGGCAAGTCAATGGATGATACTGATGATACAGTTGACATCGACGTGCTGGGTTGCACAGAGGTTGAAAGAGAGCTGAATGTCGTGACTAGACTCTCCGCTGTAGAAGTGGCGTCCTTGCAAACTGGAACACTGTTTTCATTTTTATTTTCATTTTCCATCGACAAAGAATCTGATGATGTTTGCTGTACATTTGTTGATTCATGCATACTTTTAGCTCTCAATTGTCCACTGTTGGGTGTCGATTCGGACTGTACATAAGCGTTGAAATCACAAAATTCTGATGAATTGTCACCATCCATGTCACTTGGAATACATTCTTCAGTAAATTGACCATTTTCAGTGTCAACAGTGGAAGAGCCACAAGCGTTGCACGAATCTGCCACACTAGAATTGAGTGATGGAGAAGGATCACTGTCGCCATCAGAGAGAAGTTTTTCTTCCGGTGATGTTTTAGCCACCTCTTCTTTTGTATTTGTACCAGATCCATTTCCCAGGGAACCATTATTAGTTGATTCCTTGCTGTTACTGGCCTTTGCACATTCCACATTAGCAAGTTTATTGTGTATTCCATTAGTGAGTGTTTCTTGTGAATGCGATATTTTGTCTTTATTCGTAGCACTGTAAAGTTGTTTGAAAATTCTGTCACTGGCCACAGTGGCTGGCTTTTTGATATCTGGAAACAGATAATAATTATTATTATATTAATGCCTATCAAAGGAGTGGAATTTGGAAGGCAAAAAATAAACGCTGAATTCAAGATTTTGGAAATGCATTCTCCATGACTGCGAGATGGACGTAATGTGAAAAGGGGGTCAGTAGGCAGCACACGACTTTTACCTCATGCCAAAATGCTGCTTGTTCCAAAGAATGTTTTCTCTGGCGGGTAGATTATGCTCTGGAGGAAAAAGTTTTGACTTACGGAATGTGATTTTTGCCGCCTATTTCATACTGAGAGGTCATTACATGCATATTGATTTTCTGCGGTTATTGTTTCTGGTCAGCATGATTTGTTCTGTTCTGTTCCCTAAGAGGTCTGCTATGATGATCGACGGCAGTGAAAACACAAATGTCAGTTGGCATTTTGAACTTCAGAATTCGCATGTTCTTGAAAAGCACAGTAAATGTACTGTACAAATTTGTTACCTGAAAGATTTGGTCTTTCTAAGCCAGTCCACCTGGTAGCTGGAATTTTCTTTTTTAACGATAGTTCAATAAAAGCTTTGGATAGTCTGCTCCTTGAAGACACTATGTCCACATTTCCCCTATTAAAGGGTCAACAAAACAACACAGAAAACAGCATGTAAAATTAATTACAAATACATGTACCACTGTGCAAAAATGAAGTTGAAAGAACAAATTATTACGAAAAGAAAAACATTATTTTTGTAAAACAAGACAATTTTTACAATAACTTCTTGAACAAACCTGAGTTTAAGGTTCCATGAAAACAAAGTGTTTTCAGATGTGCCAGAATACATCTTGAGAAATTCCCTGTGACTGGAAAAAGTGAGACAGGACACAAATCTTGGATCATCTATTTGTTACCCTTACTCTGCATGACTTTGACTATGACCTGGAAATTCTCTAACGCAAGTTTTTAACGAGGATTTAAACATGTGACAATGATTTTTTCTTTGTTTATCTTGTAGAGTTTTCATTAAGAATTCTAGTAGCATGAGAACTAGAAAGGTGTAACGTTACAGGAGAATATTTTGAAAGAGGCTCCACATCTAAATAAAAAAATAGTCATAGCCTACAAAACATTTGCCGGAGAATTCTGTGTAGTAGAGGGGGAATTTTCCAATCTCCAATGCCTAATTAACAACCTCATCTTAACTTGGGTTTGTTAGGTAGGAAAAAAGTTGGGATAACTACAACAAAGGTTGAAAGATCACGATGTTTTTATTAGTGCATGTAACACTTCCGCTTTTGTCAATTCTGTTGAAGCTAAAGCCCTCTAAAAAGACAACATAATCTCACCTTGTTGCAAATTTGACCTGCAGCTCATCTTCATAGAGGATAACATCCAGAAGATTTTTATTGACTTCCTTCACATACAAATGTATCACAATAATATCACCCTACAACAAGCACAAAACCCTTACGTTAATACTCACTCTGTTAATTTATCTGTTGGTTAGCATAATGATTGCTAAATAGCTACAAGTACACTGTAATAGGATTGCAGTAAAAAAGAAATAAATAAAAACAAAATCACAGTATACATAATATATTTGCACAAGAATAATTAATATCATTTTTAGGGACTTTTCAAGGACCAATTTCATTTTTCAAGGACCTTTTCTTGGACAAAAATAATTATGTAAAAGTACACCTCCCATGTAATATTTATACCAAAAAGAGCTACCAACAACACCAAAATGGCACAAAATGTCACAGGTCTATGACATGTGCAAGACGTGTTGCCGTTCTCAGATCATAAGGTCCCTAATGCCTTACGAAAAAGCCATGTTAACAAAGCAATGAATGATTTTCCAGTAATCGGAGACTTAGTTATGCGCACAGGATTATGGGATCGCCAGGGGGCAAACATTGCAAGTCGCAACAAAGAAATGTATAGCCCAGAGCTGTTTCTCCGTTTAAAACCAGTGTCTTTGGATCGAGAATGCTGCATTTTGCCGTGATTTTATGAGAAGCGGGGGTGACTAATGTTGGTGCGTTGATTGCAAGTTTTTGTGGGATCAATGCGATGAAATCTATCGATAAACACTCCTTCTTGCGAAAGGTCGACTGTGAAATTTACTGAATGGTCTCGAAATATATAGTACTAACTTACCAGGTATAAATGAGCGGGGAATGTGGACTCATTTATTAAGCCTTTCCAGTTGTAAGTACATGTGCTGATATTTACAACGAGTGTAATTACGTTCGGCTCGGCGGCGATCACAACGCCGTGCCAGTTTGTGACAACGATCGAAGGTAAGCTTATTATGTATTGTCGAATTTGCTATGTACAGTATTAACTTTAAAAGCAAAAACATCTTCCCCACATTGGTATATTGATTCCTTCTAGCAAAAAAAAACACCAGCGAAATGTTTTGTCATGATCCTGAGCACCAATGAGTTCTAATGCCTTTTCTGATCATTTTGAGGGAAGATATAGAATCTCTGAATTTCGCACATCAACTTGGTATTTATTTACACACTCACTGCTATTGTATCGAAATCTTACTCGTTCGCACGATTTCTGTACTTTCCATGAAATATTTCGTGGATGTTACTTTGTTTATACCAAAGTAAAGGAGGATTTTTCATTTTTATGGACACGCCCCACGATTGTTGGCGTCATAACCCGCACAGAGCTGATCGCGGCGGCGTAGTTACACTCGTTGTAAATATCACCACACGTAATTAAAACTAAAAAGCTTAAATGAGCCAATCCCCCTACATTTATACCTAAATTTGCACTATATATTTCGAGACCTCTTCTTCATGTGGATCACTGTGTAAATTCAGTAAACTGCTAAACATAAATTTCACACTCAACCTCACGCAAGGAGTGTTTATCGATAGAATTTATCGCATTAATCACACAGAAACTTGAAATTTCAACACACTAACATTAGTCACCTCCGTTTCTCATAAAATCACGGCCAAGTGCGGCATTCTATGTCCAAAGACACTGCTTTTAACGGAGAAACAACTCCACGCCATACAATTCTTTATAGCGACTCGCAATGTTTGCCCCCTGGCGATCCCAAAATCCTGTGCGCAAAACATGAGTATCCGATTACTGGAAAATCATTCATTCACCCACCTTGTCATACCAGTCATGTTTGAGATGGACAAGGTTACAAGTCTCATTAGGACTGGCTTGCACTGCAAGAAAATGACAGTTTGTTAACTACCGTAAAATTCCGAAAATAAGCCCCGGGCTTACATTTTTCAAAGGCCCTTTTTGAGGGGCTTATTTGTGGAGGGGCTTATATTCGGAGGGGCTTAACTACGGAGGGAAATTTGCATTTCAAACTTGAAAGGGCTGGCCTTACAGTTTGAAGTAAATTTACCATTTTTCCTTTGTTTTACATTTTTTGGGGGGCAATTTTCCAAGTACAAGCCCCTGGGGGGCTTATATTTGGAGGGACGATTTAATGGACGTTTTTTTTGCATTACCGGTTTGGGAGGCTTATATTTGGAGAGGCTTATACATGAAGGGGCTTATTTTCAGAATTTTATGCTATGTCATGTTATTTGCTATCATAAGGAGCATGCTGTCTGTTGGGCTAAAAATTCGTTAAACAAAGTAACTTGTATCATCATTTACGCTAATCTATGGAAATAATAAAAGTTGTTGTAAGAATATCACCTTGCAGCCTTCTTTGACACACTAAATGAAATAGCCTTAATAGCCCTAAAAAATTGCATCTCACATCCTATTTTGGTCCTTAGATAAGTATAATTAACATGATTGTCTCTCTAAAAAAAGTTCTTGAATCTTGGCCATCCAAAAACTGCTTTTACCTCTTCAAAAATGTCCCAGAACTGGGAATGAATAAAGGCTCAAAGAAAGACTGATGACAACTTTTGGCATCCGTTGATTTGCTCAGCCTTTGCTTTAGATTCTGGTCATTGCTTTGTGCTTTGTGGAATTAAGTAATTTCTCTGACTGTAACTGAAAGTGATTTGGGAGTTGTCCACAACAACAATCCTTCGTAATTGCTAACACAAAATAATAATTCTACACTCTTGACATTCCTGCAATTCATTAAGGTGGACATATTTAAAGGCAAATGTGCGTGTTTTGAAGACAAAAAAATAGTTTTTGTACGATTTTTGAAAAGAAAAATATTGGATCCATATTTTACACGCATTCAAGAGTTAAAAATGGCAAAAAAGTTGTGTCATGTACATTTTAAAAAACAAGGTACATTTAGGGTCAACACGATGATCAGTAGTCTTAGCATGAGAACAAATAAACTGTGAAGAAAGGAGATAGAGATGGGATAATGTCTATGGAGAGATACAAGCCAGCTGAAGGTGAAATTGGAGAGCTGATAATGGTTGAAGAAACTCAGATGTTTAAGGACTACTGTCTGTTTAACACTAATGAAACGACAGTGGTACTAACAGGTGATCTTTTAAACCTTTATCAACCCTCCAAGACAGTTTCACCTTCTTTTACAGTGAAACTCAGATGCAGTATATGTGCCTATTCTCGGACACTTTTTGCATTTATCACAATAACTTACCTTAGAAAGGCGAGAGCAAGCTGATACTTTCCTAGTATATAGTTCTTTCTTACATTAATATGTCCTAAAGACTAGCTGGTAAAATGCCAAAGGTTTCTCCGTAATTTTGAAAAATATCGTTAAAGTTGAGCAGCCTATTCTCACACAGGTAGTCCCTATTCTTGGACAAATTGTTCGTAGATGATTAATCCTATTTTTCATGTTATTATACATCTCGTTGAAGAAAAACAAAGTGCTATTAAAAGTAAACAATCCCTTTTCCTGCCTTAAAAAGCATTTTAAGGTTGGTTTTAGTGAGTCCATCCTAGAGCATTCGTCACAGATTAAGTTCACTATTCTAAAAACAAACTAAAATATTTTGCCCACAGGAAATTGCATTTGTAAGTTGATCCCGAGGGTTCACTGTCAAACCAGGAAAGTTTCAGCTAGGAGCAGCTGGGAAAAATAGTTTTCTTCGCTCTTCTTCTATAAAACCATCGTTGAACTCGTAAATGTGTATGGCGTTCCATTTCCGCCAAAATTCAATGTTACATTTTTCATTATACTTTGCATAATCTATACTACATTTTGTGTTTTTCATTTGAGTTTGCACTCGCGATTCAACTTTTTTGCATCCAACATTCAACTTTGGTTTATGCAACATTCAAGTTTTCGCTTTCGACATTCAACTTTTCATAAGCAGTAGTCAAGTTTGCGAATTCGACCTTCAAGATCAGTGGGATGTAGATTCACTTTTTCGCATCCAACATTTAGCATTTGTCCTTTAAGTTTTCGCTTCCCACATCCGACTTTGGGCATTGTACTTGCAAGTTTCCGTATTCGACATTCAACTTTTCGAATTGAACTTTTACCCGCTGGTCTGCGACCAATGGAGATCGTGGGCTCAATTGATCTAACCCACCCCCGCTCAAATGGTGGTCGAGAGTCTGTCAAGAGACTTTCCAGTGGAGTGGACTCGGGAGACCTTCTCCACTCCCGACAAACCAGACGTCAACGATAGATAGAACATCGCCCATCGTCTGGATGCTGCTGCACAGTCTTCGAGGGAGGTGAGTGCTGTCCAACCGACTGTCTTCTTTAGTCGAAAGGTGTATTTCATGAAAAATCTCTTAAATCTTTAAGCTGAATTCCCATACAAATTAAGCATTGTGCAATTTTAATGATTAGGGGTCGACCAATTGACTTTTGAGGGGAGGTATGGGTGATTTACTCAAAGTAAATTTTTTTCCCCAAACCTGTAGAGATAGAATATATATATTTCCCTGGGATATAACGGTGTAACATGTCTTTCTGCAGCATTACATGCCACAAAAGATTTTTTTTTTCAGTGCTGGATATTCTTTTCTGAAATCACTTATATGGCGAGAGCTTAGGTAGCCTCCCACGCAGATGTCCTAAGGGGGATTCGGGAGGAATGCTTGACGAATGTGACGAACTGCCCCTTAATATTCCCTTAACATCTGCATGGGAGGATAGAGCTTGAGCCGCCTGTGGGGTTTTGTACAGACCGATTTTTGATTGCAGCAGTGGGCAACAAATCAAAATTCATTCCTTCTCAAAAACAGCACGCGTGAAGTGATCAAAATCAACCTGGCGCTATTTATGGCTCACTCAATTCCAAGCGTGCCCATCCTCTCCCCAGCATTTGTGTTTTTTTGGGAAAAGCTGCAAATGCCCCACAATGGGGCCGGCGTTCATGAAAATCCCACGGTGGGGCCTTAAAATAGGGTGCAAATGCCCCACCCCGAGACAACACCAAAATTTCATTTTCCAGTAAATAAACTGCAAAAAACCAATGCAAATTAATGGGAAATCTGTAATAATCTAATCAAACTCTCGCGTGAAGCACCCTCACGCAAATCGCTCCTAGCAGCTGGTTATAATTATATTTATTGCAAAAAATATCACACTGATCCAGGAGCCGATTACTGACTGATCGGACTTTAATTATCAAAGACAAAACTATGAACTAGAATTTTAACAAGACTTCTATTAGTTTCGAAGATGTTTCATATAGTAAATGATAAACAAACAACCCACGAGCTTATTAAGATCAGTATTTTCTCATCATGATGGAACCGTTTCGTCAGGGTATTGTCGCATTGATCGTACAATACACAAAGTTTATATTAACTTTTGTATATATCACAGAGTTTTTCTTGGCATTTCAGCCTCAAACATTCACGGGACAAAGGACGTGCCTTTCCTTTAAACTCTTTAAACGATACATTGATTGTTTTTTACCCATATGCAAACGATGGCGGAATAGATGCAAAATATACTGTGGGGTGGGAACGGACTACGAGAAGTCCCCATTTTTCCTCAGGGATAGTAGAGCGGGCGAAATGCGAGTGCTCGTGAAAATCACCCCACGCCATTCTCGACCCTAATGCTTACGGGTTTGGGAATGCGCGTGTAATCTCCCTCCTCAACATGCGCAGAGGAGCTCTGGGTCGAGATTGGAAAACAGCTTTTCTAGCGTGGGGTGATTTTCATGCGCTCGCATTTCGCTCACTCTACTATCCCTGTGGAAAAATAGGGACTACTCGTAGTCTAGGTAGGGAAGTGATGGAGTCGGAGTCAGAAGTGATGGGCACGCTTGGAATTGACTGAGCCATTATCCGTACATATATGCTTGTGTCGGCGCGAACACGAACTTTATTGAACACATAACTTCTTCATACTTGACAAGGGTTGCCCGACACTTACCTGAAGATGGTGTTTCCTCCAAAGGAGACAGACAGTCCGCTACCCTCAAAAGAGTGGCTCTCACCTCACTTTAATTAGCAGGTGCAACAGTATCTTGGCGATCGGCGGCTTTTATCACACGGTGGAGAAGGTCTCCCGAGTCCACTCCACTGGAAAGTCTCTCGACCGACTCTCGACCACCATTTGAGCGGGGGTGGGTTAGGTCAATTGAGCCCACGATCTCCATCGGTCGCAGACCAGCGGGTAAAAGTTCAATTCGAAAAGTTGAATGTCGAATACGAAAACTTGCAAGTACAATGCCCAAAGTCGGATGTGGGAAGCGAAAACTTAAAGGACAAATGCTAAATGTTGGATGCGAAAAAGTGAATCTACATCCCACTGATCTTGAAGGTCGAATTCGCAAACTTGACTACTACTTATGAAAAGTTGAATGTCGAAAGCGAAAACTTGAATGTTGCATAAATCAAAGTTGACTGTTGGATGCAAAAAAGTTGAATCGCGAGTGCAAACTCAAATGAAAAACACAAAATGTAGGATAGATTATGCAACGTACAATGTAAAATGTAACATTGAATTTTGGCGGAAATGGAACGCCATAAATGTGTTTGGTTTTCGCGCTGTCTGAGAATAGGCATACCTCACAAAAATATACACCAAGTTTTTCCTGTGTTCTTGCTCAAAAATGTGAAACATTTAACTTGTAATTTTTGCTTGAAAGCAACCTTGTTCATTTTTTTTCCGCCTTACTCAAAAAGGTAGTTATTTCTGTTGAGTATTTAGCGAGAAAAGAGTGCACAATGAAACGATATAATTCAAGGCGCAGTGAAATGCGAACTTTGGCAGAAACACATTTTACCTTCCTTCAAAAGATCTTCAAATTTCACTGCCTTACCCAGCAAAACAGGTCCCAAAAAGCCTTAGTGAAAGTAGACTAACCAATAACTCAATGGAGCCTACCGGAAACTCTCAGGTTTTTGTCTAGGGAGAATTACAAAACATTAATGCCTACGGTCCGTTAAGTACGTCCGAGAGATAGGCACACATACTGTATGAGTAAAACTCATAAATAAGTAAAATAAATAAAACTACTGAATGGATAAAATTCTCTGCTCTTAAGAGACCCTCTCCTGACAGGTTTTTCAGTTCTTTATGTGGACCAGTTAGCATAACTCTCTTGACACCACTAGAATGAATTTAGAAAGTTGCCATATTTGAGTGATTTTGCCATTAAACTTATATATGACGATATAGTTTCGCAAAGTCAGAAAATTTTACGGAAGTTTATATGGTGGGGGCCATGAATTTGCCCTCACCATATAAAGGCCTTTAAAATTTCGTGACTTACGAAACCGTATCTTTACTCAACTCAGACAAACCAGGCAAGTTTACTCGTTTTAAGGTGCTGTTTCTAGTAGTGCTGATGTATATTCGCTGACTGGTCCTCGTCAAAACTTAAAAGACACCGTGAAATGGTTTAATCAATGGTACGGCAGAATACTAACACGTGATTATATCGGTTACGTTCACCAAGTCTGATCAAATGTTCATCGACGGTGAATCAACAAAATACGCCACTGAACAGTTACAAAACGTTCTACCAAAAAATCATTTGAATGCAATCACTAGATACAAGATTTAACACTTTTTGCATATTTCCTTCATTGGATGATTTCACTCAATGAAACAAATAAACAACAACAAAATTGAAGGAACGTTTTATAAACAAAAGAAAATTTCTGTCAGTTTCAATGCTACAATAATTATTATAGCAATCAAGATTTTTCGCTAATCAACTTTCGCGCTGGTATCAAAAACTAACCTTCACTGGCCTTAAGATTAGACTCTTGAGCTTCTTCAGGTTGACTCTTCTTATGTTTCTGCTGTTGGTCGGCGGATGAGTGGTCTGCGTGTATACATTTTATGGCCATTTCTCCACAAGCCGCTCGTTTTCGTCTGCCTATGGCCGAGGAACTCCTGACGTTTAAGTGTGAATTCGTCGTGGTAAATTCGCCTTGCGAAGCGCTCGATCAAGCGAATAAGTCACTGAAAGTTTGTTTCTAAAGGCTAGCGGCTAACCTCCATTCTTTAAACAGTTTGACGAGCTTAAAAATCGAAATTGGTCGCCATGTCAAGTCCCGAAGACAGCCGGAAAACATTTTTCGTTGATCCCGTCGTGACATCATATGAACACGTGCTAGTAACACGCATGCTCAATTACTGCAATCTACCCATAGTGCATTTCACGAGCAAACGACAAGTAAGGACAGGAAAAGTACGAGAAAGGGCAAAAAGCAGACGTCTGGGCAAAAGAAAACAAAAATATACAAAACAAAATTAAGTACACACGATGTGTATGATGTCTTTGTAATCTTCTTTAACTTCTCATTTCTTGCGTTGCCTGGAGACTTTTGAGTCGCCCCGAAAGGTGTATTTTCAAACTCAAGGCAGTCTTTACCCGTCAGTGGAACTGGCATTGCGGACTCCAATCGTTCGCGGGATTACGGATTCCTTGAGCTTTCGGAGTTTCCAAAACCCTGGATTCCGGAAATCTACACCGAGAAATTTCCCGGATTCCGGATTCAAAAGATTTCCCGAAATCCGCAATCCGTTTTACCTTACATTGGGCAATCTATGGGGTTTTAACCTCGGAAAAATCGACAGCTTATGGCAGTTTCTTTCAAGGTCTGTTGCTAAGAGGACTGATAGGTTTTCTTTTGGTGTTCAAGCTCTTCTTTTCAATCAGAATTAAGTAGCTCCTTTATCACTGTTGGTGGTAGATATGGCCATAGCTCTTGAATCTAATGGCCTAAACCGCCGTGACGTATTGTAATAATTATTTGTACTGGCTTATTATTAGTTTTTCTTTTCTTGTTATATGTTGTACATCATTCTGCTTCAGTCCCTTTTAAACAATTTTTATTGCGACATTATCCATCTATTATTATAATTCAGTCCTATCATAAATTCAGTAACATCTGTAAAACTGAAAGATTAGTATGGCCAGCCGAAATCACCGGCTTGTTCTAAAAAAGCAATTCACGTCGGTTTATCAGCTTCAGCAGCTTTGCAGTAGTCCTTGGACTTCTCGTTTTTTTATGAAGAATTAACCGGCGGATTAAAAAGTTAAGACAAATGATCCAACTTTCGTAAAGTGAATTCACTGCAAGCAATGCAGTCGGCGGATAGAAAGAGAAGTAGCTGCCTACGTTTTATACTGGACCAGTTTTTCTCCAACAACTCCGACACTTTTTCTGTGACACTGAACTTCTTCCGAACTTTTAACTCCATACCCGGGTAACAAATCATATCAAATGTGACTCCCTCGCCTTGCGTACGGAGTCAAGTGAAGAATGAATTTTCCCTCGTGGAATTAACTGCATGTCAGTGTGAGAATGGTCAGAGTGAGAGAGAAAGTGTTCTGGGTGTTCGGAAAAAGCAGTAGGTTTAGATTTAAGTTTAGTTTTGTCGACTGGATGTCTCTGTTCGTTAAATCTGTCCTTGAGGGTTCATAACCAGATACGGTTAACCAAATTGGAAAAGAAAATGAAGCCAGTAGTACAGGATCCAGACCCTCAAATATCATCCAGACCCTGAGATAAGGGGGAGGGGGACGGGGGAGGTCGGTTTCAAAAAATTTCTCCCCCTTCGGGCCTCAGTTTGGTCTAAAAATAAGGGGGGCCCTTCCCTAGATGCGCCCCTGAGGATCCCCAGTAAAAGGATCGACGGCAACCTAGAGCTCTGGGGACAAGGTTGGAAAAGCTCTTTCAGCCGGACGTACAAAAAGGCGGGAAATTTAATACGTTTTGGGAAGAAGAAATAGCCAAAATACTGCCTAAAATCATGACTAGAACCGCGAAAATACGACACGACGGTATTCACCTGCTATTTGAGGAATATCTGTTAGTCTAAACACCCCTTTATATCCTGAATTTACCGAGAAACAGAGAAAATAAGGGCAGCTTAACATAAATCGAGGTAAGCATGGCACAGGCGGGAAAAGGCAGGACTAAGGTGCAGGAATCAGCTGATCACTTGTCATCTCGTACACCCAAATATCTTTGGTGTAATCGCATTAGCGTTCTGTGAAATGCGATAGAAAGCTCAAATTATGTGTAACCCGATCGCGATCTTTTTTTATCTTTGACGAGTGACAAGTATTTTACAGGATTTTCCGCGTTTTGTAACCGACATGACGTAGTATTTTTTCTTCCTATTTCAATATTTGTAGCGAGTTCTTGGAGCGGTATCATGAGAAACAAGCCACCGTACAAAAGGTTTGACTCATGGAACAAAACTTATCGGGCAAAATTGCAGTGTAAAGTTCACCATTTTGGTCGGTAGTGCTCAATACGCACTAACCTCGTACCCAGATCTCTTGTCGACGACGCCGGCAAGAAATCTGGGTGGATACGAGGTTAGTTGCATCTTACCCCAACTTTTCTTTTTGATGCTTATGGCGAAGCCAATGCAGTGACCTGTTGATGTTGTTCATATTTCCTTTACATATTTTTACGTCCCGATGTTTATAATAATAATCAATAATAATAATAATATAAATAATAATATCAACAATAACAATAACAATAAAAATGAAAAAATGATAATAAAATAATAATGATAATTATGAATAATACATTTACAGTGCGCAACTTTCCATAAAATTGTAATCTAATGTTTCCCGGTAAGACA